ATTGACGGACATGGGCAGTCGTTGACTGTACCGGCACCACGGGTACTGGTTCTTCAGGCGTCTGCAGCGGTTGAGGAGCTTGGACCGCCGGCGTGAAATTGTATTGCGGTGGTAGAGTGCTAGGTCGTTGACCAGCCGTGGTGGCTCCGGGTCTCTGTGATAGATTAGGTGCGATTTTCCTCTTGCGGCCACGAGTAGGCATCGTGTGAATGAGGGAACAGTAGATCGAAGACTGAGAAGTGTAGATCGAAGACTGAGAAGATGAAAGCTAGGGTTTGGAGAAGAAATCGAAGACTGAGAAGCTGTAATCTAGGGTTTCGAGATGAACAGATGAAGGAGAGGAATGGGTTTGTATGGGTTTCGAAGAAGACGAAGAGGAAGAGAAGATCGAAGGAAGAAGATGGAGAGGAAAGTAACTAGGGTTTCTCGCAGACGGAGAGGAAGAAGATGGAGAGGAAAGGAACTAGGGTTTCTCGCGATTAGGGTTAGCTTTTTATAGGGGTTCTCTTAATGGGTTTAGGATTTAGTTGTGTTGGCCCATTAATAGTCGGACAACAGTCTCTGGTTTGGGCTCAATATTTGGGCTTCGGCCTAATAACGAAATATAGTCGCCGATTAGTCATTAATTAGTCGGTAAATTAATATAATTAAAACGTAATTAATATAATTAAGACATAATTATATAGTTTTTAAACAAAATTCTTAGATAGAAAATGTTATCTATTAAACATATAGTACATAAATTACATAATTAAACATATATAATTTCAAGACATAATTAATTAACTAGTATTGTTCTTCTTCTTCTTGTTCTTCATCATCAGAAGACGATAAATTACACAGAAATTCATCTTCTGGATCCGCATCTCCGATATCGTAATCGAGGTTTATTGGGTTTAGCTCTTCTACCAAATTGTCGAGTACGAGATCTTCAATTGTTGTCATCAATACAGCATCATCATTTTCTGTTTGCAAAAGAGTTGGATCTTTGTTTTCATATTCTCCTGATATGTTTCCCCTCGGATTTACTTTCAAAACATTGAGCCACTCTCGCTTTGGTTTCTTTGTGTATGGATATGGAATATAGCACACTTGATCCGCTTGAGATGCTATTTGCAAAATCACAATGTTTGGTTAGTTACATATATATGTATATGATCTTGAATATGTAAATAGATATATATATAATGTACTTACCTAAAATAAATGGTTCGTATTTGTTGAATTTCCTTGATGAAAGAACGTCTACAACGCCACTATTGCTCCTCCGAGTGCCTCTACCCATAACCGGGTCATACCAATCACATTTAAAAAGTGTGATTCTCAAATTGACAATCCCCTCATACTCAAGTTCCATGATATCGATTAAGTTCCCGTAGAAATCCGCGGCATCAGATGCATCCGTATAATTTTCACCTTTCACACATACACCATAGTTACATGTCTTACGTCCAGCGCCGTGATTCTGGGTATGAAACAAATAGCCTCTTGTAAAATACATTGGCCAAGTTTTGACCTTGTTCAAAGGTCCATGCACTATCTCTTGAACCCAAGTAGGAAATGGATTCGTGTCATTCCAGTATGTAACCTGCATTTATATTAAGAAAACATCATTCTTCATATATATATATATATATATATATATCCAATCAAATATATGAGTATAGCAAATTTTGCAGACATACATAATCTTTCACCCACACAGGATATTCTTCAGCTCTTTTCTTGGAGAGTTCTTTTTCGTTCAATCCTGGATATTTTGCAGAAAGAAAATCCTCGAACATACTATACAAATTAAACCAACATGTACATATATATATGAGAAACGATGTAAAATTGGTAAACCAACACTTATATATGAGAATCAACGTATGTTGGGAGTCTATGTTATATACCTCTCAATTGGTTGAAAGTAGTCACAATTTCGTAAGACATATTCATGAGCGCATTGGTAGTCTTTCTCTGATAGCCATACTTCATGCATTTGTCCACTTGGACGACCGACATGAGTAAATATATTTGGTACTCCAGGGACATGATATTCTGGGACTTCACCTTCATTGAATCTTGTTAACCTGATACAAATGAGTTAAAACAAAGTAGATGGCATGATCCAAATGATCCATTCGATTTACCAAATAATTCACAGAAATTACCTTGATTTTGTTTGTATATGATCGCCAAAGTAGTGCTCTGAGAAATAAGCAATCTCGTCATTTATATATGACTCAACAATTGATCCGGCCGCATATCTTTTGTTCTTTGCTTTTCCTTTCAACTTTTTGAAAAACCTTTCAAACGGATACATCCACCTATATTGGACAGGGCCTCCCAATTCTGCTTCGTAGGGGAGATGTATAGGTAGGTGCTCCATAACATCAAAAAATGATGGTGGAAAGATCTTTTCTAAGTTGCAAATGATTAGAACAATGTTCTGTTTCAGAATTTGAACGCGACTTTTCTGCAAAGTTCTTGAACATAAGTCCCTAAAAAATGCTCCAACCCCTGCAAATTAAACATGTTCAACTTATAAGTGTTATATCTATATGAAGTATTATCATATTTACATGTCATATATATAATAAGTAATTAGTACCTGATAATGCAAGGTGAACGTTCCGGTCTAGGAGTTCAGCAAAGATAAATGGAAGTAGCCGTTCCATAAACACATGGCAGTCATGACTCTTCATGCCTGAAAACTTGCCATTCTCCATATCAACACAACTAGCCAAATCTGACGAATAACCATCTGGAAATTTAACCGAATGTTTCACACATTCCAATAAACTCCTTTTGGCTGCTTCTGTCAATACATATGCAGGGAATGGAGCTTTACCCTTACTATCAATATGTAAGTCTGGCCGAGAACAAAATTGTTCTATATCCAATCTTGACATGATGTTGTCTTTTGATTTACCCTTCACACTCAAAAGAGTATTCATGATGTTGTCCAAGAAATTCTTCTCTGTATGCATCACATCAATACAATGTCTGAGATTTAGGTCCTTCCAGTAAGGTAGCTCCCATAATATGCTTTCTTTGTGCCAGTTATGCTCCTTCCCATAGCCTGCCATCTTCTTTTCATGACCGTTACCACCAACCTCCTTGGTTTTTGGTGGATTTACTTCCTTCAACCGTTCATAATAAACTTGCTCACCTGTCAATGACTCAGGTGGATGATCTCTAGAAGCGTCTCTTCCTTTTAAGAAGTCTTTTTTGTTCCTCCTTAGTGGATGACCATGAGGAAGAAATCTTCGGTGACAATCAAACCAACATGTCTTCCTTCCATTAGGTAAATAAAAAGACTTCGTACTATCCATGCAAATCGGACAAGAGAGTTTACCATGGGTGGTCCATCCTGATAACATGCTATACGCCGGAAAATCACTTATCGTCCACAGTAGCACTGCTTTTAGATTGAAATTTTGATTCAATGACACATCGTATGCATCGACTCCAGTAGACCACAACTCTTTTAACTCTTCAATAAGAGGTTGGAGAAAGACATCGAGACTAGATCGCGGATGATTTGGCCCAGAATTCAGAATTGTAAGAAACAAGTACTCTGTATTCATGCACATACCGGGGGGTAAATTATATGGAGTCAGGATCACAGGCCACAACGAATGATTACGAGACATGCCAAATGGATTGAACCCATCGGTACATAATCCAAGATAAACGTTACGAGGTTCTTCTGCAAACCGGGGATTTTGCTCTTGGAAATATCTCCACTCCGCCGCATCTGAAGGATGAGACATTTCTCCTTCCTTTGATTGGTGCTCGGCATGCCATCGCATTGCCGCTGCTGTCTTCTGGCTCTGATACATTCTTTTTAATCGGTCACCAATAGGTAGATACCACATCCGACTATATGGTACCTTGGTTCTTCGACGATCATCCTTAGGCTTCCATCTTTGTGAACCACAAAACCGACATTGATCTTCCTTTTCGTCTTCTTTCCAGAAAAGCATACAATTGTTAACACAAACATCAATTGTATGATACGGAAGGCCTAAATTGCGCATCAACTTTTCGGTCTGGTAATGTGAACCTGTTGCCTGGTTTCCTTCTGGTAAAAAATCTGTAAACATTTCGCAAACCGAATCCACACACTTTTCACTCATATTATACTCCACCTTATTTTGCATCATCCGAGCAGCTAAGGATAACTGCGACTGACCTTCACGACAACCATCGTATAGTGGATTATTTGCACCTTCTAACAAGTCGTAGAATTTCTTTGAATGGTTACGTACCGGTTCTTCCACATTCTGATAACTACCATCCTGATGATAGATGTTATAATCAAACCCCACGTTAAATGCGTCGTTCACCATATCCACATATGGATCTTCCACAACATAATTACCCACATCTTCCTGATTCCTATCATCATGCGTCCTATCATTATACGTCCTATCATTATAACTCGTTCCTATATCCACATTGATCTCTTCTCCATGCTTATACCAAACATAATAATCAGGCATAAATCCATGAGTAAACAAATGACTCATAACTCTTCTACCGGAAACGATATATTTTTCGTTCTTGCACACACTACAAGGACAGTGAAATTTACCCCGATTACTCTGGACTATTGGTTGGCTATTAGCAAACGTCATGAATTCTTCAACTCCTGCTTCAAATTCAGCCGTAAAATTTCCCGTCGCTTCATCGAACCTCTTGTACATCCACTCCCGATAAAACCCGCCATTACCGCCATAATTGTAATTTCCCGCCATTACTAAAAAAAAAATTTGGAATTTTTTTTGGAATTTTTGGAATTTTTGGAATTTTTTGGAATTTTTTGGAATTTTTGGAATTTTTTGGAATTTTTTGGAATTTTTGGAATATTTTTGGAATTTTTTGGAATTTTTTGGAATTTTTTTTTTCTTAACGTTTTTTTTTATTGTTTTTTTTTTGGTTGCTCGCACAATGAAGAGAGGGGTTACAGAATTTTCTTTATATAGGCATTTTCACAGTGACTAAATAACGACTACATGCCGTAGTCGCCATAAAAGTAGATACACCTACCACCCAACGAAAAAAACGTGCGTATCTAACTGTTATTTGCGACTAATTAGCGACTACCTTACGACCCGCCGAATGAGTCACTAATTAGTCGCTAATTTGGCGACTAAACATCTCGGTCGTCTACGTAGTCGCTAATTTGGCGACTATTTTGCGACACCAACATAATATTAACAACTTAGTCGCCTAATAGTCGTTGTTTAACGACTAATAGTACGACTATTGATTTTGGTCGGTTTTTAACGACTAATGGACGACTATATAAGTTTAGTCGTAAAGTAGTCGTAAATCAGTGACCATACAGTCGCTAAAAATGACGACTATATACGTAGTCGCCTAAGTTAGTCGGTACCTGCCTGTTTTCTTGTAGTGAGTCCTTAACTGATTCTTAGCTGAATCTTAGGTTTGAGTTTGATTAAATTTAAATCAGAAAAGGTGAGAAAAACTAAGGAACGTTCCTTAGTTAAGGAACATTTTCTACAGTTAAGAGATGCCACGTGGCGCGCGATAATTGGGTTGAAAATTTAATACAAAGACCGAAAAAAAAAAATGAAGAAAGCGGTTCCGTTTTTTTTTCCTTTCTCTCTCTCTCTCTCTCTCTGAAATCGCGATATGCGAAAATGAAGAAAGCGGTGGCGAATTGCGAATTCCGACTGGAATCGGAGGATTCTCCGACGCGAATGACCGCCGGCCGTCGTTCTTCCAGTAGACCATCTTCTCCACCGTCTCCGGTTGTCCACGGCGTCTACAATTCACCAAAGCAGCGAGGTTGTGTTGCGAAATCGTAGAGAAGTTCACCGGATCTCCCAGTTTCGAGTCGAAATCGGATCCTTACCTTCAATTATCGGCTTTTCAAGGTATGCATGTGTATCTCATTGTGTGATTCGATGGCATTTACAAATTTTAAATTAGGGTTCTTCGGTTTTGAGAAATTAGGGTTTCGTGATTTGGGGATTTGGGGTTATTCGTTGTTAGGTGTTTAATTTGGCTAATTATAAGCGGATTTGAGTGTGTGTCTGTATTGTTTTAGTAATTTCTGATTAGGGTTCTTCGGATTTCTGAAATTAGAGTTTCTGGATTTGGGGAAAAGGTGTTATTCGTTATTAAGTGTTTAATTTGGGTAATTAGAAGCATGATTGAGTGTGTGTTGTAGTTGTTTAAGTAATTTCTGAGTAGTGTTCTTCGGATTTGTTAAATTAGGGTTTCTGGATTTGGAGAAATTGTGTTATTCGTTGTTTAGTCTATGATTTGGCTTATTAGAAGTAGGATTAATCAATATTTTGTATTGTAAGGCATGATTGAAACAAACTATGCTTGGTTAATACTCTGTTGGATCGTAATACTCTCTTTTTGATGTGTGGATGATTGTTTGGATTAAGACTTTGTTGGATCTTTATTTTAATACTGATGTTGATTAGTTTAGTTGCAATTTCCATGATTGTTAGGTGTATTTGAGATTTGTATTTTCAATTATTAATCTGATTTGTTTTTTATCCTTGAATTTGATTTATTTTTTCTGTTTACTGAGAGGAACCTCCTTAATTGGACATAAAGAGGAGAGAATCTGAGATGAGTGGAGACCTGCTGGTGTGAGACTTGAGTGTTAGCTGCTGCATATGGGACAGTTTAATTACCAGACGTAAGGGTAAGTCAATTCTGTCTTTAACTCCATTAGAACATTGATTATTATTCAGTTAAGATTAGGTGAGACTTGAGTGTTTTAGGTTGTGTCAGTTTTTGTGATAAATGCATTTTAAAAGACTCTTTAATTGTTTGCTTTTTGTCTGTTTTGATGTTGAATTAGAATGTCTACATCAGTTCTAGGAATTGATTGCTTTGGAGAGTGTTTATAGTTGTATGTGATCAATGTTTGTTTGGTTGGTTTTCATTATGTTAAGAATTAAGTGTGCCATTGAATGCTAACCACTTCTGTGAACAAACACTAACACATAAATAAACCTAACCTCTTTCATTCTCTTTCATTCTGAGAATTATCTTTAATTCTCAGAAATCCCAATCTCTTTCATTCTCTTTTATTCTGCGAATTATCTGTCATCCTCTTTCATTCCCTTTGTAAACTCCCTGAAACTCTCTAAATGAATCCATATTCTAACTCTGCTGGCTTCATGGAGCTGTTAACAAGTCAACAAGAACCCAATGCTTATGAGTCAGCATCACCAAGTATTAGACTTGGTGAATCTGAACTCCCTGCCTACAGCACCCAATGGACAGAAGCTACAAGTGAAGGTGGAAGCGCCAAAGCTAAATCCACACCAAGAAAGAGGAACAAGTGGACAAGTCAAGAAGATTTAGTCTTGATATCTGCGTGGCTGAATACAAGTAAAGATGCCATTGTTGGCAATGAGCAAAGAGGAATAGCCTTTTGGAAGAGGATTGCAGCATATTATGCTGCAAGTCCCAATATATCTGGTCAGAAAAAGAGAGAGCCAACCCACTTTAAACAAAGGTGGGCAAAGATAAATGAGCAAGTTTGTAAGTTTGTGGGTTCTTTCCAAGCTGCAGCAGGACAGGTGTCAAGTGGTATGAATGATGACGATATGATTAAGCTTGCGCATCAGATATTTGAGGCTGACTACGACAATAAGTTCAACATGGAGCATGCATGGAGAGCGTTGAGGAATGAGCAGAAGTGGTGTCAAGAGCAGTCCACTAAATCCACTAACAAGCATAAAAGAAGAAAGGTAGATTCTGAAGCTTCCCAAGCCCACAGTGAGTCTCAAGCATCTCAATCTCGTCCTGCTGGTGTTAAGGCAGCCAAGGCAGCCAAGGCAAAAGGCAAAAAGACTGCCACAACTGCACCACTTGTAGAAGAAGAAGGGCAGGCTGTAGAAAGGATCCAGGCTTTATGGGAGATAAGGCAAAAAGAGTTTGCTTTGAAGCAGCAAGAACATGCCCTCAACAAGGAACATACTAACCAGAAGTTGCTAGAATCTCTCTTTTCTAAAAAAGATCCTCTAACTGAAATTGAAGAAGAACTAAAGACAAAGTTAATTAGGGATATTTTGCTTTGATTTCTTTCATGTATTTCTGTCTTTCTTTCATGTATTTGTATTTGTATTTCATGTATTGCTTTGATCATCTATTTCTGTCTTTGTGTTTCTGTTTCAATTAGGAATTATGTTTGTATTTCTGGTTATGTTTGTTTAATATGGTAAATGAAGTTTATGTTTCAATTAGTTTTGTGTTGTTTCATATATGTATTTTTGTCTTAAAACTCTCTGTTTCAGTTTAAATGATCTCTTCATATATGTATGTGCAGGTTCACGTGAAAGGAGTAGAAGAGGACAAGTCCAAATCTGTACTATCTTCGACACCACAAGTCTTCTTTCTAACCACAAGTTTCCAGCAAGCCTTTTGTACCACTTGATGCTGTCTGTTTGTTCACGGACCAAGCTTTTGGAAGACCAAGTCTTCTTTCTAACCACAAGTTTCCAGCAAGCTTTTGTACCACTTGATGCTGTCTGTTTGTTCACGGACCAAGCTTTTGGAAGACCAAGTCTTCTTTCTAACCACAAGTTTCCAGCAAGCTTTTGTACCACAAGTCACAAATGATTCCTAACCATGTATTATTTCAGAACATTGCCTATAAATATCACAAAGTTTATACACGATGAATTATCTCTTGTCTTAACCAAAAAATCTTCAATTTCTTACAAACTCACAACCAAAAAATCTTCAATTTCTTACAAACATACAAAATGGCTTCATCTTCCAATTACAATTTCTCAGAAGCGTTGAACGAAGAACTATCCAATGTTTTCCATCAAGCGTTGGATAATTCATTGGATTCTTTCGATGATCGTCAGCAAGCCGCAAAACCGAGGAAAAAACGAGTCCATATTGAAAGAAATCGAGAAGAAGGACACATCCAGTTATGGAACGATTATTTCGCAGAAAATCCAACTTTCCCTCCTAATCTATTCAGACGCCGTTTTAGAATGAATAAGTCATTATTCATGCGTGTTGTTGATCGCCTCTCCACAATTCCATTCTTTCAACAAAAAAGAGATGCTACAGGAAGAAACGGTTTATCTACACTACAAAAGTGTACAGCAGCAATTCGTATGCTTGCATATGGTTTAGCGGCTGATGCGGTTGACGAATACCTACGGATTGGTGCAACCACTTCGATGAAGTGCATGGAACATTTTGTTGACGGAATTATTGATTGCTTTGGAGATGAGTACTTACGACAACCCACTGCAGAAGATCTTCAACGGCTCCTCGTTATTGGAGAGATTCGATGAAATTTCCCGGGATGATGGGAAGCATTGATTGTATGCATTGGGAGTGGAAGAATTGCCCTACCTCTTGGAAAGGACAATATACACGTGCCTCTGGAAAACCAACGATCGTTTTAGAGGCGGTAGCTTCCCAAGATCTTTGGATATGGCATGCGTTTTTTGGACCTCCAGGTACTTTAAATGATATCAATATTCTAGATCGCTCTCCGGTTTTTGATGACATCTTAAAAGGGCGAGCACCAGCAGTGAATTATACAGTCAACGGGAACGAGTATAATTTGGGTTACTATCTCACGGATGGCATTTATCCTAAATGGGCTACCTTTATCCAATCTATTTCACTTCCACAAACTGATAAAGCATCTTTATTTGCAACCCATCAAGAAGCTTGCCGTAAAGATGTCGAGCGTGCTTTTGGAGTTTTGCAAGCTCGATTTGCCATTGTCAAAAATCCGGCTCTTCTTTGGGATAAGGTAAAAATAGGTAATATTATGCGAGCATGTATAATACTTCACAATATGATAGTAGAAGACGAACGAGATGGATATACTCTGTTTGATACTACCGAATTCGAACAAGCGGAATCTGCAGGAAGTTCACGGGTGGATTTCACATATTTTACAGATATGCCTTCAAATTTCTTCGGAATGATGACCAATAGAGCTCGAGTTCGTGATCGAGATATGCATCAACAATTGAAGAATGATTTGGTCGAGCATATATGGACAAAATATTCCAGAAATTAAGTTTCAAATATTTGTGTTTTATGTTATTTATGTTATAAATTGTATCTCATGTATGTTTTAATTTTTTTTAATTTGCAACAATTATTAAATTTTCTATAATTATAAATTTTATTTTTATATTAATATTTTCTTTTCTAAGAACCACATGTTAAGAGCCTACCATTAATCACACAAAAATCTTAACTCAAAAATACTATCTCTTAACAATCACTTTTACAATTAAATTACTTAAATATTGCTAAGATTTATTTCTAAGAGCCTACCTATAATCATGCTCTTAGATTTTGGGTTTTTTCTTTTTCAATTTTATTTTTTTTTTAAATTCTTTGAGCATAAAAATTAAATCCATTATCTCAGAATAGAGACTAACTAAATAAAATAACAAACGAAATTGAATATTGTGAATATCATCTTTAAAATTAGATTACGAAATGTCCTAAAATAGATATATATATAGTTCAGACTTTGAATATTTGAACTGGTTAAAACAAATAGTTCATGTTTTTATCGGTGCGATTATTTCATAGAAAAAAAAACTGTGTATTTTTATGAAAATTTTCCTAGATGCTTTTGTTATAAGAACTTCACAATCACAAGTCTCTTTTTGTTTCTCCCGACGCGTGAGCCACGCGCTCTCTAAATACCGATTATACATGGCACAGATCCGACCCGGAAGCCCAATTAGAGAGACCCAGATTTCACAAAATTAAAATTGTACATCGCGTCTTCCTCTTCTGCGTCGTCTTCTTCTTCTTCGTCCGCTTGAGTGGCTTCGGGTACGTTATTTTCTCCTCTTTGGGTGATTTCTGATTATCATTTATCTTGAATTTTAAACTCTTAGGAGATCGAATCGATGTTTTTTTTTCTTTCATGAAAGATTCAATTTTTCGTTTCCGATTATACCCGCCAAGTGACTATTGAAGTATATCTGAGAAATTCTTCATCTGAAAGCTGATATCGGAATACGGAATCCTTGTGACTGATGATAACTGTGAGAGAAGAAATTTGATATTGTTCTTTAAGAGCTATAGTGAGATAGTTTATAAAAAAGTATGTGGCTTTTCATGTATGAATGATGTGGGATTGTTTGGTTTCATATTGTGGGAGGCCCTTTGTTGGGCATTGTCATGCTTACAACGATTGACGTCTCTAATCATGACTGGTTCCAAAAAATCGATGCTTTGAATTGGTTTTGCAAGATGCTGTACAGTATCTGTAATCCATTTTAGAATTGGTACACTAGGTTATAGCTATAACTGAATGGTGGCTTTATATTTTAGATTGTGTTTCTCTACGGTTTAATATGTTAATGTCCTTACTTCTTAGTTGGTATCTGAATTTCATTCTGACTTGTCAACTTTGTAGGTCAGATTTGAGAGGAAGTAAAAATGAGAAGACAGGGAAACTTTGCGGACTCATCACCTGCCAGTGGATATGGAGCTGGACAGATACAGGACGCCCATTCTGATTTCCAAGGTCAATTAGAGGCATTCACGCCTGAGAGGGATCAGCCCTATTCAGATTCACAAGCAGAGGGTCAATGGAGATGGGAAAGAGATGGCCCAAATATGTCAAGGCCAATGGCTACTGCCGTTTACAATGAAGGTAAGTCTTTACTTACTGAGTCGGTCTTTGACACAAAGACCTTGGCATTATACGGAAAAGGAACTATCATGGGTTTGCTTCTTAAGTCTAATAGGCAATGGTATTATTGTTCAGAAGTCTTGGTAAATTCAACAGTTTCTGTGTAGCTACTGTACCAAGCAATGCTTATACTCATATATGGCTTAACTTCCCTTATTATGACCAACAGTTCTTCCTTTAGTGGGTAAGTTTTCCTATGATATTTAACATGAGATTAGAGAGAAATTAGTTCTGGTTGAGATATTTGTGGAAATACTAAAAGGAAAGATGAAATTTTTTACATGATTCCTTATGTTGATCCTGCCTATAGTGTCTATCGAGCTTTAGGGATTATCTCTTGATTCAAGTATTTTGTTTACACAGGACAACAAGGTGTTGATTCATCGAGGACGTATTACCGTGGCCAAATGGATCCAAAGTCAGGAATGGAGAAGCAAGGCAGCGATACCAGAACTCAACCACAACACCAAGAAAATCCAAAGACTGGTTATGATAATAACCGTGGGGTGCAGACATTTGAAGGTCTTGAACAGAAGTTCATGGATGATATAACAAGACTAGCAAAAGATCAAATCGAAGCAGAGGATGCAGAGATTGCCAGACATCGAGAGGTTAGCAACAAATTGGAAAGTTCTGCTACTGAATCACTCTAGTTTGGGTTTTAATTAGTTAATCTGAAATCTGTAATACAGAAAATAAGCACCATAAATACTCGATACGAAGAACAGTTAGCTACACTCAGAGCACGACACACAGGTAAGAGAGAAGAGATCATGAGAAAAGAATCACAAGCTAGGCAGCAACAATACAAGCAGCAAACCATGGGGATGATGGAACCGTACCATCCAAACGCGGTTGGTCCAGCCAATCTAATGCCATCTGGTCATCCCCAAGGTTACATTGGCAGTGCTCAAGATCCAGCGGCTGTAGCGGATGCACCATCAAGATCATATGGCTCAGATCGGTTTGAAGCATACGGAGAGAGAGCTAGGTTTCAGGGCGGAAATAGAGATCACGGGTTCGAGCCTAGGGGTCAGTACCCTGGTGGGACTGTCTATGACACTGCATCACGGTTCTACTAATGTGATATTTACTTGAACATATTGTGTTTTAGGGGATTCACTCCCACTTTTTTGGCTTTATAGATCAAAATTAAGCTTTTTAGACTATCCGGAATTTGCAAATGAAATCAGGAATCCTTTTTTATATCCTGACGAGAGCATTTTAGAATCTATTCATTGTTGTACTATTTAAAGTAATTACTGTACTTATGCACTTTCCAAATAAAAATTAGAAAATTTTCGAGATTATGCAGGATTACTAATTTGACAAAGAAACCATAATGAAAATTATTCAGAAAACAGGTTAAATATGTTTGTATATATAGTTTCTTCTAATAAGTATATGGTAACCTTAGGATATATAAATATATCTGAAATACGTAAAAACATAAATTCGTTGTCAATAGAGAAACTCGTATAAAATGATATTACTGTAAAAAAAAAAAAATTAATGTCAACAATTTTATTTTTGTGCAACAAATAATGTCAACAATTATAGTATAGAATTTTGTGAAATAAAATATAATCATATAAATTTCCCTCCTTTCCCTATATCATCTTCACAAGAGACAATACTTCCCAAAAAAAAAAAAAAAAACATTTCTTGGCCAAATCTCTCTCTTTTTTTTTTTTTTTTGTGCCCTGCGTTGTAAGATGCTGATTGTCTGAAAAATATCATTCTCCTTCTTCGCTATCTCTCTGCGAATCTTGCTCTTTGGCAAACCTGTGCGGAGGAACAATGAACGGGACATCGTCCGAGGAATCTTCCGATTCAACTCAGCGGATCGATTCGTTCAACGGCGAGCAGAGAGTCTACTTCGTCCCCTTGAGGTATCTCCTCTCTTCCTCACCGTCTCTACTTCTCTATCTCCGTCGTATCGTTTAATTTCATTGACGTCGTCCACTTTCCATTTGATTGGAATATTCGGCGAATCTGAATCGCATCCGAGTAAAAGATTCGAAAGGGTTGGATTTGAGTCTTGTGGGAGTTTAACGATTTGATTGATCTGAGGATTCTGGAACTTATGGATCCTTTTCGAATGTATAGGGGATGCTTATCCTTGTTTGAGCTTTATAGCGATGCATTGCTGAAGAATCAAATGAATGTGATTTGGACTCACTATGTGATTTTATGTGGCGAGATTTGCTTTTCTTACTGTCTAGTGTGAAGAATATAGTGTTTTACAATCAGATGTCAGAGGCTTTAGTGTTGATTGATATAGATATGGATTGTCTTGATTTGTTTCGTGCACAATCGCTAGGATCCTTTTTTTTAGTTTCCTTCCCTTTAGCTCTAAGGTGCATCCCCTGATACTGATTGATAGTTGAGCAGCTTGAGCTTGAGCTGACGGTTAGACTAGAATGGGATTATGGGAGTCAATCAAAGATCTATGAAATATGACTCTCATTCATTCCAGATTTATATAAGTACTCTGCAGTGGTATTTGGAAATCAGTCAGTTAAGCAATGCGATATTTGAATTTGGAATTTCAGGTGGTGGAAAGATGCCCAAGATTCAATGCCTTCTGAATCTGTTGAAAAAAGAGAGATCTTGTACACAGCAACAACTGGGTCTTCTTATGGAGGCCCAATGAAGTTGATTAATAACATCTTTAACTCCGATATTTTGTTCGATCTGAGGAGAGAAGGAGATGCGTTACAGAATGGTGAAACGGGAGAAGCAAGCGTCTCAGGCAGGGACTTTGCTTTGGTCTCGAGTGATATGTGGCTGCAGGCACTAAAATGGTTAGTGTTGTTTTCTCTTTATATATCTGATGGTTCCTTCTAGAATGACTTGAGTAAATCTGTCAATATCCTTGTCATTTTAGTGTTACATCCGATTGAACTGGAAATTTGATCTATCTCAGTATCCACTCAACTAATCTTCTATGGAATTTTTCTTATTATCTGTATCTTTTCATTCTTTGGAGGTCAAGTATTTGAAGAAGAGGCTGAGGTAGATAAGATTAGGAACTTTTTGGGTCACATGGTGACACTAGATAGAATTTGCCTATATTTTGGACGTTGCCTGTTTAAATCCTATTTAGAAGTTTGTATTATGATGTGGAGAATAAGTATTAAGTTTAATGATGGTAGGAGAAAATTATAAACTTGATAAAACTTATGCAGGATTTCTAATCATGGTACCTATTATATTCTTGCAATAAGTTGGTACCCTTTGTATATACTGTACCTTCTAAAAAGCGAGGCTGATTTCCCTAATATTTATTCCCAGGCATCATGATGATAAAAATACTGAGAGAGGTGTAAAAAGTTTCACGGCTGGAGGAGTTGACAGAGGTGATGTTTATCCAGTGCAACTCAGGCTCTCCGTTTTGCAGGAAACCAATTCATTGGCGGTTAAAATTAGCAAAAAGGTATCTTCAAAACGTACAGCCTTTTTTATTTGCCTGATCAAGTGTCTTGATGGTGCCACATTTTCTTGCTGCTATAGAAGTGGAGTGGTCGAATTTCCTTTTATAAATGATTAAAAATCTAAACTGGATTCTTTTTTCACTGGGACCCTGGTTTCCTTGGAACTATTGGTTCATACCAAAAATTCTCTACCAGACAAGGCATAACATAAATATGGGTCTGTCGTTCTGCCACCCTTGTCCACACGAACTTGAGAAGGAAATAGTTGAATGAACTATTATGAATACTATAATTTCTTGCTAGAGTGTTGCTATCCATCCTGAAACTTCCTGTTTTACAGTATGCCAAGATGTCCTGTACAATTCTTCTATATGTTTCATTGATTCAACACCATTGTTTTAAAAACTTCATCTTCCAATGAAGATTCATACTGGAACTATATTAGAAACAACTTAGTTTCTTGTTCTTCCTATCTGCAGAATTTTTGCTTAGCTTCTCAGTTGTTGTTTTTCTGGTTCCAAATCTTATGTTTTCCCTCATGCAGGACATTCAGTTTGAATGTTTCAGAAGAGCATGCAAGATATTCAGTTTGGATTCTGAGCAGGTAAAGTGTTCCATGCATGATCTTTTACCTACTATTTACACAATGTGCTTGTCTGTTTATACATACTATATGGTAGATGCAGTAATTTCTGATATTTATTTATGCAATTACAAATTATACGGGCGCTTTGATTCTGTAGTTGCGCATTTGGGATATTTCTGGCCAAACAACCTTGTTTTTCGAAAGTGATGTGAGCAATTCCAAGGATTGTCTACAACAAGCAGAATCAGGAAGTAAGTGTGATGCTTTTTGAGTGAATGCAAATATTGCATCATAGTTTGTTACAATTAAAACTGCCTTCGCCTTATTTCAGACTTGCCTTCCGTTTTCCCATTTTTTTCCCCCTAATTTCTTTGATCCGTATTTCTTATTCATCAGTACTTTGGTCCAAACAGATGCTCCTAGAGCTTCAGATTTATGGATTATCAGACTCCATCAAATTGAAGGAATCGAAAAAGGAAGATGGTTCCACACAGCAACCAATGGGATTACCAATGGCATAAATGGTGCACAGTGTTCAGATTTGGACGGAGTAATTCTTTGAGCTTTTTTGGAAAAGCTGAGAAGCTGGAACTTTGGGGTTGACAGGCTTGCAGAATCTAGGAACACTTGTTTCATGAACATTCCTTCAGTGCTTGGCTCACAACACCAAAGCTTGTCGACTTCTTTCTTGGAGAGTACAGTAAAGAATAAATCTTGACAACCCATTGGGAATGAAGTATGCCAATCTATGGCTTTCTGTATTTTATCCGCTGTGGCTAATTAATATATTCTCTTGCTTCTTGGTTAGCCTTACCGATCAAATTTCTGTGGCAGGGTGAGATCGCCCTAGCTTTTGGTGACTTATTAAGGAGTCTGTGGGCTCCAGGTGCATCAACAGTGGCCCCAAGGACATTTAAAAGCAAAACTTGCTCGCTTTGCTCCTCAATTAGTGGCTTTAATCAGCATGATTCGCAGGTCAGAGAAAACACTTCCGTTTATAGAATCTTAATTAAGTGAGCCTTCCTGATGTTTTCTTTTTGTCTCTCAGCATTAAAGGCCGCATATTGGGACATCCCATTCATGTTTTTGAGGTTTTTTTATTTTGTTGCAGGAACTTCTAGCTTTCTTGCTGGATGGACTCCACGAGGACTTAAACCGTGTAAGGAACAAGCCTTACGTGGAAGCAAAAGATGGAGATGGCCGTCCAGACGCAGAAGTGGCTGATGAATATTGGCGAAATCATGTTGCTCGCAATGATTCAATAATTGTTGATGTGTGCCAAGTAAATATCTTCAGGTTCCTAAATTGTTTATTTACCTCTGCTGACAACCACTCTTAAGGATCGGGTTTGCACATTAGAAAACTTTAGTTTGACCTTTACTTGAAAATGTCGGATGGCTCAAGCTGTATAGCATTCTGGTATCCAATTACGTATCATTTTGATCTAAGCTGCATATGTTTGAAACTTCTTCCATCAGATTTGTCAGTGCAATTTTATCTTCTTGATTTGAGTTTTGTGCACACAATATTTCTTTGTTTTAAGGAAGATATTGTGCCCTGTCAATAACTACGTCAAGTTATTATAGAATTGCTTTTCGTTTGATATGATGCTCGTTGCAGTTTAAACCATCTGACTTTGTCATGAACTTTTAACATCCTGGTATCTCATCTTCTGTGGTTCAGTGCATTTGTTAAGAACGATCCTAACATTGTCGACCACTGAGACATTTATATGTATATCTGGTTGCAGGGCCAATACAAGTCAACATTAGTTTGCCCTATTTGCAAAAAAATTTCTGTTATGTTTGATCCGTTCATGTACCTATCGCTACCTTTGCCATGCACATCAATGCGAACAATGGATTTAACAGTCATGAGTGCCGATGGGAGTAGTTTGCCTATTCCATTGACTGTCAATGTTCCTAAGTTTGGAAAATTTGAAGATCTTCATAAGGCTCTTGTCACTGCATGCTCGTTACCAGAGGAGGAAACTTTACTGGTTACGGAGGTATATTTCTATATTTGTTTCTATGGATCTCATTCTGGTGCTTAGGTGGAGCTTTTGTTAACACATACAATGGAATTTCTTTGATTTGGTCTTCATTTGTATAGGTATACAACAATCGGATTATTCGCTTCCTGGAGGAGCCTACTGATTCATTAACCTTGATCAGAGATGGTGACAAACTTGTCGTGTATCGGTTAAAGAAAGATGCAAACAATTCTCCTTTGATTGTGTATATGCATCAGAAGCTGGAAGAGTAAGTTTGCATAGTACTTAAATGCCAACTAAGGTTCTTATCAATGGAAATTACCCCTAGCCCCGTTTTCTTTGTCTGGTGGTTTTGGACATTATCTGTTTGCTTATGTTGGCAACACCATGAATTTAAAGATCATTACATGCACTTACCTCGATAATCAATACCTATAGCTCTTTTCTTTATAAAATGGTATCTCGATCATGCTCTTGTTCAGTTAATAAATGGTAGTGCAGTTTAACCACTGTTCAGTAGTGTCATGCATGAAATTTATGTCTGATGGGTACCAAATAGTTAACCGTTCCAATGGTTTTCAGGCAGTTTATATCTGGGAAATCTAGTCCAACTTGGAAGGCATTTGGAATCCCTTTGGTCTCGAGGCTTTGTGATGTTGAGAATGGATCTGATCTCGAGAACCTGTATCTGAAACTGCTTAGTTCATTTAAGATGCCTACTGAATTCTTCACAGAGAATCTTGAAAATCGAATTGAAGAAGAAGCCACTGATAAAGCAGATACCGATGGTACTACTTCAGTTGAGGATATAAATTCCACTGATGTAAAGGAGACTACTGAATCTCTTCCAGATCCTGTGTTGAGGCTTTACCTAACCGACGACAGAGGAAACTCAATAGAATCTGAAATATTGAAAGAGAAGCCTGTAAATAAATCCAAGCGGGTGAATGTGCTTGCACGTTGGCCAGTAAAAGATCTTGACGTTTATGATACTCGTCTTCTGAGCTCCTTACCTGAGGTTTCCAAATTTGGAACTAAGAGACCTCAAGAATCCGTTTCGCTTTTCAAGTGCCTTGAAGCATTCTTGACGGAGGAGCCTCTTGGTCCTGATGACATGTGGTGAGTTGAGGTTCATAACCATTTCTCATATCTATTCTCAGCTTTATGACACATGAAAATTTATCTTTTGACAATCGTGCTCATAGTGCAGTTGAAAATCAACTTAGATTTAGTGTTCCTTTTAGATTTAGTAATATGATTCGTTACGTTGTCTTGAAATTTTTGGGGGCATGTAGCATTATATTATGCTATATTTTCCTCACTCGTCATCATCTTTGGATTTATCTCGAATTTTGTCAATCTGTATGTGTGGCTGACTTGCTCTTTACTAATTCTTTGGATACTCTGATTCTGATTGTTAGTAGCTGACATAAGTCAATTGTTTTAGGTATTGTCCTGGCTGCAAAGAGCACCGGCAAGCTGTCAAAAAGTTAGATCTCTGGAGGTTGCCAGAGATCCTGGTTATTCATCTGAAGAGGTTTTCGTATAGCCGGTTTATGAAGAACAAGCTGGAGGCCTATGTGGACTTCCCGCTAGATGATCTTGATCTATCAAGCTACATCTCTTACAAGAATGGTCAGACAACATATCGCTACATGCTCTATGCGATTAGCAATCACTATGGGAGCATGGGAGGGGGTCATTACACTGCATATGTTCACGTAAGTGAAAAGACATTTTTAATCATCCTCTTATGTTTCTTGTCTCAACGGTTCATCTATTTTAAGTGTGTGTTGGAAAACTGTGGAACTCTTGTAGAGTAGGATATTATAAAACTGTTTGAAGTTGAATTACCCGTGATCAGGATGTCTCTAACTAGGATATATTATTGTTAAAACGGCTGGTATGTATCCAGATTCATAGAGAGTTATAATTGTTGACCTCATAAGGATGCTAAGTAAATTCATTTTCTTCTTCTTTTGCAGCATGGAGGTGATCGATGGTATGACTTTGATGATAGCCATGTCCACCCAATCAGCCAAGAAAAGATCAAGACCTCGGCTGCTTACGTTCTGTTCTATAAACGCCTTGTAGACTAAAGAACCTGAAGCTGAAAAGACAAGAAAGAAGTATTTGCATTTTTGCCAGTGTAAGGGGTAGGCTTATTTAAAAACACTACAAGATCAAGTCAAAGCAGCTGTTTGGTGAGGCTAATTTACAGGAGAGAGAGTAGGGAAGAAGAGCAAAAGACCGAGAAGAGAGGACAATGTTGCAGGGAATTCATTTTATTTTTACAAAATTGGTTATCTGATTATTTTATTAACCATATTCAAATTAGAGTAGAAGAATAGAGAAAGCCCTTTTGTGGGATATGGTTCTAAATTGTTGTTTAGATCTTGTGTGTCAGTTTTGGCTCTCAGACCAAATAAGATTAAAGAACCATCTACCTTTTTAACTCATTCCTTTCTTTTTGCAATGTTCTTTTCTTTCCAAAGTTGTTCTGTCTTACTCTTCACTTCTCTGATAGGCATAGCATTTGGATTGTCCCGCACGTTTCCAATCAGAACCATAGTGTGGTCGTTGTGTCATTATCCGAATTTAAGTGGAAACATTGGTAAGTTACTTATAAAATTACAATCTATTTTCTAATATTTCAAATAACATAATTAAAGCTCTGTAGCTACCACAGTTAGTTTAAGTAGACGGTGAAGATGTGAAGTGAGAGCTCTCTTGGCATTGCTCAACCACCAATGGATCTACCTACCCTTCTTCTTCCCCTTTTAAACCCTAATTTTCTCTCTACCTCAACAACGACTCAATCATGGCTTTGTTCTTATCTCCTAAAGCCATCACTCTTCTCTTTTTCTCCCTCTCCCTCGCACTCTACTGCAGCATTGATCCTTTTCACCACTGCGCCATCTCCGATTTCCCCAATTTCGTCTCTCACGAAGTTGTCTCTCCACGTCCCGATGAAGTCCCATGGGAGAGAGATTCGCAAAACTCACTTCAGAAATCAAAGATTCTGTTTCTAAACCAAGTCCAAGGTCCAGAGAGCGTCGCGTTTGATTCTCTCGGACGCGGTCCGTACACCGGAGTTGCTGATGGTAGAGTTTTGTTTTGGAATGGTCAGAAATGGATTGATTTCGCTTATACTTCGAGTAATCGATCGGAGATTTGTGATCCGAAGCCTTCTGCTTTGAGTTACTTGAGGAATGAGCATATATGTGGTCGTCCTCTTGGTCTTCGTTTCGATAAGAGAACCGGAGATTTGTATATCGCCGACGCGTATATGGGACTTTTGAAAGTTGGTCCTGAGGTGGCTTAGCAATGCCGTTAGTAACTGAAGCTGAGGGTGTGCCATTGGGGTTTACTAATGATCTTGACATTGATGATGATGGAACTGTTTACTTTACAGATAGCAGCATCAATTACCAGAGGAGGTCTGATTGTGAATGTGACATGATTTTGTTTTGAGTGAATTGTGTGGTTCATTGTGATTTTGAACTGTGATTCTCTTTCAGGAACTTCTTGCAGCTCGTCTTCTCTGGAGACAATACTGGGAGAGTGCTAAAGTATGATCCAATAGCTAAGAAAGCTGTTGTTTTAGTCTCAAATCTTCAGTTTCCTAATGGTGTGTCTATCAGCAAAGACGGTTCTTTCTTTGTATTCTGCGAAGGCGATATTGGAAGGTGAGTAGTATTCAATCAAATCTTGATGTTGTGATCAATGTCTGGTGATGGGATTATCTTTAACTGTAAATAGACCTTGAATCAGTTGCCTCACTAGTATAACAAGTAATAGGTTAATCCCTTATAAATGATTGTTATATGAGAATTGAAAACATCTGTTTGTGTTATGCATCACAGGATTAATTTCTCTGTAGTATTGAAGGGTTAGTACCTATAAAGACTATATCTCGATCCATTACAGCCTAAAGAATTGTCTTTTGGTTTGAATGCAGCCTACGAAGATACTGGTTAAAAGGCGAGAAAGCTGGAACGACAGATGTGTTTGCGTTTTTACCAGGGCATCCTGATAACGTAAGAACAACCAAAACGGTGAATTTTGGGTAGCGCTTCATTGCAAACGCAACTACTACTCATACATAATGGCAAGATATCCTAAGCTGAGGATGTTCATACTGAGACTGCCAATCACTGCAAGAACACACTACTCGTTCCAGATCGGATTACGGCCGCACGGATTGGTGGTTAAGTATAGTCCTGAAGGGAAGCTTATGCAGGTTCTTGAAGATAGTGAAGGCAAAGTTGTGAGATCAGTAAGTGAAGTGGAAGAAAAAGATGGGAAGCTTTGGCTGGGAAGTGTGTTGATGAACTTTGTTGCTGTCTATGACCTCTGATTGCTTGACCTATACCTAAACCACATCACTGGTTTCTAGATTTAGCAAATTCGGAAAACATTTAGGTGTGTATTAAATCAAAGACACTTAGCACAGAGAAACTATGTGAGAAACAAATGTTAGCGGCAGCATCAATAAGTCACAAAGTTATTACGAACCAATAAACTAAAATGTCCAAAGCTCAATCCGAACCAAAGTTTTTTCCGGTTAACATCGGTAGGCGACATTAATTTTTGCAATCAAAACTCATTATTTCCGTACTGTTGGTCATTTTTATACAACATGAACTAGCAAAATCAATTTTCTAACTCATCTGATTTTTTCAGCCAATCCGTTAATTTATGACGTTTTCAGAAACTGCGATTTTCTAAATCGGGATACCTAACTAACTGACCAAATATTAACCAAGAAAACCGATTTCCAAACCTTCTGGTTAAAAGACAAAAGCGTGAAGGTTCTTGGAGTGACCGGTTCGATTTGCTTGCACCAGTTAAGTTAAATCGGTTCTGACCGGTATTCAGGTCGCAATTCTACCGGTCTTAGGCCTTAGCCTTAACCAGATAATGTTTGGGTTAAATAATAATTTTCTAAACTTTTAAGACTTTACCATAAGCTTTCGAGAAAATGAGGGATTCAATTAATAAAAGCTTCTCCAGAAAACTTTCTCTTTAACACCATTAGAGAGGTGTGTGTCTTTATTAGTAGTAGTAGACACAGCGACCGTTTCTTCTTCTTCTTCTTCTTCTTCTTCTTCGTCGCCTAATTCTCGCTTGTAGCCGGAAAATTTCCCGGAGGAGAATAAAGGGTTCGGTTTCGTTTCCCTCGTCGTCTTTTCGATTTTGTAAAATTGACATAACCCTAAATTTAGAAGCCTCTGCCTCGAGTAAATAAATATATTACTGGATTCCGTTGATCCCGACTGTTACTAGGGTTTATGCATGCTTCCACTTTATCCGATCAAGATTCTTCGTTTATTCCAAATTCTAATTTCTGGTTTGCTGCAGCATTGTGTGCTCTTTCGTTTGTAGTCGAATTCTCGAGACGGGCAAATGGTGAGTTGATATCTTCGTTTTCTTCCTTCCGTCTATTACTTTTGTTTGATTCTCCAGAATGATATTTTCACATTGAGAGAGATAGAGAGGGTTTATTAGAGGTATGAAGTATATTTGTGCTGATAAAGATAGCATCTACTGTACTTGAATTGCAGTCGGATATTAGGAAGTGGTTTATGAAAGCTCATGAAAAAGGGAATGCAAGTGCTCCGAAATCGACGTCTTCCAAGGCAGGTCCTGCGAAGAATGCTGCAGAGACTGCACCGATAAAATCAGAGCAGGTGTGGTTTCTGCTCTATATGTTTAGTATATCTTAGCAGAACACTGGTTTAGGTATTGCTAGCAGGAGGGAAGTTAGTGGCTCTTTCTTTGTTACATTGTAAAATTGCATTATGTGAGGTTGCATGAAACTTGAAACACATATTATTTGTTTCTTTTGTCTTTGCTTTGTTTTCAGAGCCACTCATAGGCAACACAAATATGCTAGTTGCTGTTACAATCATATATATTTGGTTTGTTTACTGGAATAAGTGTTGTTTTTGTTAATCACTTGGAACTGATTGACAGGCTAGTGAAGACCTGGAAACTGCTGCTAGAAGAAAAACCAGCAAGTATTTTGGTAAAGATAAAACAAAAGTTAAAGATGAGAAAGAGGTGGAAGAAATTCCTGCCAAGAGGAAACTTAAGACTGACTCTGATGATTTAGCCAAGCCTCGTCCAAGAAAGGTTACCAAGGTTGTTGATGATGATGATGATGATGATTTTGATGTACCTATTTCAAGGAAGACTCGTGATAGCACTCCCAGCAAAAAACTAAAGTCTGGGTCAGGTAGAGGAATCGCAAGTAAAACTGTTGATAACGATGAGTATGATGATGGTGAAGATGCTCAAGATAAGGAGACTCCTCTAAAAGCTGCCGGAAGAGGCCGTGGCGGTAGAGCTGCTCCAGGGGCCTCAACTGGTGGAAGAGGTAGAGGTGGAGGGCGAGGTGGGTTTATGAATTTTGGTGAAAGGAAAGACCCACCGCATAAAGGAGAAAAGGTCTGTATTTTACTTGATCGAAGGTCTTCTCTTATCCTGACTATTACGTGGGGTCTTAATGTATTTACTGACCTGTCTCTGTTTTTCAGGAAGTTCCTGAAGGCACCCCTGATTGCTTAGCTGGATTGACATTTGTAATTAGTGGAACACTTGATAGGTATTTCATTTTTCATACTTCTTGCCTTTTCCAACGTTTTTATTTCATGTTACAGTTTCTTGTACCCTCTTGACATTGCAGTTTAGAAAGAGAAGAAGCAGAAGATCTGATTAAGCGGCATGGTGGTCGTATTACAGGCTCTGTTAGCAAGAAAACGGTCTTTCTTCAACCTTTTTTTTTCTTTTTGTTAAGTTAAAGGTAATGGCATAAAGTTACAATTATTGTTTTCAGACTTACCTTTTGTGTGATGAAGACATCGGCGGAAGGAAATCTGAAAAAGCTAAAGAACTGGGGTGTGTGCTCATTGATTGCATATCATTACAGTAAACTTTTGAGGTGTTTTTGGTCTTCTAGCATCCTAACTTATAATATTCTGTTCAGCACTAAGTTTCTTACAGAGGATGGCCTATTTGACATGATCCGGTCCTCTAAACCTGTAAAAAAGTCTCTACCTGAAAGGACAAACAAAGGCACTGAAAAAGTCTGTGTACCGCTGAAGACAAGTCCTCAGAAAGAAGAGACAAGAGGTATGAACTGTACTCTTGTATACCATGCACTTTGGGTATTTGTGTCTTCATCTTCAATTTATTAATCTGTTTCCAGACATTGCTCCTCTGGCTTCAATAACGCTTGAGCCATTTACTCAGTGTCCATTTCTGCTCAGTTATCCTTACAGTTAATAGTGATCACAATCATTTTTTAGGAAAACCTTTAGCAAAAAGTTCGCCCAACAAGGTTCCCCCGGCGAAAGGAAAAAAGAAAATTATTGAGACGTCCTTGCCATGGACAGAAAAATACAGACCGAAGGTTCCAAATGAGATTGTTGGGAATCAGTCATTGGTATGTGATCGAAACTACTGTATGTTGCTTTTGTTCAACGAAAATGAAAATGATGGATCCTTTATCAAATCGATTGCAGGTTACTCAGCTTCACAACTGGCTGTCCCACTGGCATGATCAATTTGGAGGTACTGGAAGTAAAGGAAAGGGGAAGAAATTGAATGATGCTGGTGCCAAGAAGGCTGTACTTTTGAGCGGAACACCTGGTATTGGAAAAACAACATCAGCAAAGTTGGTTAGTCAGATGCTTGGTTTCCAGGCAGTTGAGGTTAGCTCATATTTATTTAAATTTCATTGTTTAGTGATATAATTTCTTGCACATGCTTGAAAACGAATGCAATTTACTTTCTATTTAGGTTAATGCTAGTGACAGTCGTGGAAAGGCGAACTCGAATATCGCCAAAGGAATTGGTGGCAGCAATGCAAATACTGTAAAAGAACTTGTCAACAACGAAGCCATGGCTGCCAACTTGGATAGGTTTTTTGGTGTTTGTTTTATATCCCCCAATGTTGATAACTGGTTCTAGATGCTTGTTTTTTTTTCCTGACTTGGTGAAAATTTGATCTTCAGGTCAAAGCACCCAAAGACTGTTCTAATCATGGATGAAGTAGATGGAATGTCTGCAGGCGACAGGGGAGGTGTTGCAGATCTTATTGCTAGCATTAAAATATCAAAGATTCCTATCATCTGCATTTGTAATGACCGATACAGTCAGAAACTGAAGAGTTTAGTAAACTACTGTCTTCCCCTCAATTACCGGAAGCCCACGAAACAGCAGGTTGGATTTAGATGATTGTTTTTGTCCTCTCTGCGTTTTCTTCTGATAGGATTATGCACAGGATTTCATGCAATGTACCATTATTAGTCCTTGAGCTCTTCATTGTCTTATATGATTTTTTCACCATCAGATACTTTTTCTAGAAGTTGACAAGAAGTTCCTCGTTTATTGACGGATATAGTGTAAATATCTCAAGTTTCACACCTGCTTAATAGTTGACCTTTTGCTAAAGGCTCCTATATTCATTAGAAACAAAAAAACTAATACGTTTCAGTTGCATTGAGGATCTGAATGGCCGTGTATCCTCTGTTTTATCATTAGAAATCTATGTTCTCTTATGAAACCAACTTGTCTTTTATTGCAGATGGCAAAAAGGTTGATGCATATTGCTAAGGCAGAAGGCCTTGAAATTAATGAAGTAAGATTATGTACTTAGTTTTTTTTTACTTTCACTAGCTTCTGTTAGTCAATGCTAACCAGTTCCATATAACTTACTTCTGCTTGGGACTATTGTCTTTGCGAAAAATCTGGTGCATGTCAGGCCCCTTTTACTAATTAGAAAAATGAGAATGGAAGTATTAGATTTGGTGTGAAGCATATGTGTCATGCAACGCTCTTTTTTTTTTTAAAGCCTACTTTTGCGTTTCTTGATCTCTTTGATTCTATTTTGTGGAATTCAAGTGCTTGGGTAAGCGTATACCAGTTGTAATGGATCAAACACTTGAATAGAACTTAAATCATTTATTGTCTGTGTCCACTCGTCATAAGCATTTTGGTGGTGGGCGTTATGTGCTACCGTATTCCCCCTGAACATCATATATTTTTTTCTTTTTGTCAGATTGCTCTGGAAGAACTCGCTGAGAGAGTGAATGGTGACATACGATTGGCCCTTAATCAGCTCCAATATATGAGCCTGTCCATGTCAGCCATCAAGTACGATGATATCAGGCAGCGCCTGCTAAGCAGTGCGAAGGATGAAGATATATCCCCTTTCACAGCTGTTGACAAGTAATGTCTCAAGTCCTTTACTTTAGTTCATCAATGCACATAGTAGTGTATAATAAATGCTCTATAAGTGTCTGGCATTATTACCAAATTTTTGAAGTTAAGTCATCTGCTGTTATATAAGAAATTTCTTTCCCCGGTTTTGTAGTAAAATGTTTGTTTCTAAGCACTCTGGACATTTCACCATAGTTTAATTGTAAATGATTTCCTTCCAGGTTGTTTGGTTATAATGGTGGGAGGCTGAGAATGGATGAACGGATTGACCTAAGCATGAGTGATCCTGATTTGGTTCCCCTACTTATACAGGTCTATATTTTTTGCATTCTTGTGGGGTTGTTGTGCTATATCTCTTGGAACGGAAAATAGTTTCCTGCTACCTCTGACAGTAGTGATTTCTAAAGCTTGTATTCCCACATGAGAATGTATAGAACATTGAAATTTCTACCTCATTTGCCGATATAATTTAAAGACTATTTATTTTCTTTCCATCTGGGCAGGAAAACTATCTCAATTATAGGCCAAGCGGTAAAGATGAGGCAAAACGAATGGATTTACTTGCTCGTGCTGCTGAATCTATTGCGGATGGTGATATTATCAACGTGCAGATTCGAAGATACAGACAATGGCAACTCTCTCAATCTTGCTGTGTTGCATCTTCTATTCTCCCGTAAGTTGCCTCCAGTTCTTGAGAATAAAATGGATCCTTCTTTACCAAAAGTGCTATTTTATTATCTCTACATGAAGTTTGTGTTGCCGATGAATATGCCATGTATATCCTCTAGTGTTTTAATTTTGTTTCTATTTTTCAATACTTAAAGTTCCTCTTTGGTGGAGATTGAGTTTAATAAATTATATGCTGCCATGTTCGTTCATATGTGTTGTTTTGGCTTTGCAATGGATTTCTGTTCTCCGGTTTAGAATTTCAAGATAGAAATGATGTGCTTTCTATTTTCTAATACTTGAGAACTGACGCGTACTTGTTTTGTTTGAACAGAGCTTCATTGTTGCATGGATCAAGGGAGGTACTCGAGCAGGTAATGGTCTTTCAGTAAAGCGCATTACACACTATGGATGTAACCTGGAAACTTTTGCTATCATTCAATGTGCCTCCTTTTTCTGATGATGCATGACCGTATTCCACATGATTCATTTTTCTGCATTTAAGATTTTGAGTCTGCAAGGCACAACTCATATATTGACAAATAGGGTTTCGTAAAAGTCAGTTCTTTTCTAGGTTGTAAATTTGTAATATTTGAGCATGATTACGATGGCGTATATATATGGTTATGGTATGAGCCCTCCGTTTTGTTGCTCTGGAGCTGCCTAAAATATCCTGGTTCAGATTAACCATGCATGATTACTGAATGCAGGGAGAGCGTAATTTCAATAGATTTGGTGGGTGGCTTGGCAAGAATTCTACTGCGGGAAAAAATAGACGGTTAATGGAGGATCTGCATGTTCATGTCCTTGCTTCCCGTGAATCCAGCGCTGGAAGGTTGTTCTTTCCACCTGTACAGTTAGCTTTATGAGTTATTTCTTTCTGCTAGTGAAATTTTTCCTTTTCTCTGCGATTTACTACTCTGATAGTCTTTACACAGTGTGTATTTTAGCTGCTACCTTTCCTTTCTTCATATTTCATCTGTCTGTAAAGTGTCAACTTTGTGTATATACTGCCTTTCTTCTTAGCAATATTATGTGATATATTTTCTTATTTCAACTTTTTGACAAACGTCAACATTACAGGGAGACACTTCGTGTTGATTATCTTCCCCTTCTCTTGAGCCGCTTGACTAGCCCACTTCAGACACTGCCTAAGGTTTGACTTATTAATATGTGTTTATAATATCAAGGATAAGATTAATATGAGAAGATATTTTATGTTATCTGCTACTTGATCATATATATATGTGAAAATATTTACTCAGGATGAAGCAGTTTTCAGAAGTTGTTGATTTCATGAACTCCTACTCTATAAGCCAGGAGGACTTTGATACTATTATGGAGTTGGGAAAATTTAAGGTATATTTCCTTTTTCATGGGATATCTCTGCCACAGCTACGACAATGAATCTTCTCTTATGTATTGCAAACTTTACAAATCAGGGACGTGAAAATCCATTGGAGGGTGTTCCACCTCCAGTTAAAGCAGCTTTGACCAAAAAATATAATGAGATGAATAAAACCAGAATGGTACGCGTGGCGGACATGGTGCAGCTTCCGGGAGTGAAAAAGGCGCCAAAGAAGCGAATAGCTGCAATGCTGGAACCAACTGTTGATAGTTTGAGAGATGAAGATGGCGAGCCGTTAGCAGATAATGAAGAAGAAAATGGATCAGACGCTGAAGAAGACTCAGGTACTATACATCTTTGTGAACTATTATTGTAGATTCAGTTAACTGGACCTGTATAATCAAAGACTGAGCCTCAGAAAGACATTACAAGATTACCTTCGATATCGAATGCGACTTGGATATAGACCAGATGAAATCCTGACTTGGTTTCTCTGTATTGTTTTTGATATTCCAGAAGAAGCAACCGATGGACAAAAGCTGGAGTCAAATCTTAAAAATCTGAATGCTAGAGGTTGGTCTTGGCACCGCTTTTGATAAGTTGTCTTTTCCTTCAGAAAGCCAGTTAGTCTAGAACCAAAACTGATATATATTGGCTCCGAAGGACGACGACTTGCCAAAATCTATACTCCTTATCCCTCTTTGGAGGGGGATTTTACTGATCATTATCAGCATGTCTTAACGAACTATAATCGGGTTGCAGGGATCCAAGTGGAATTGGATTTGAAAGGAGCTGGAAGCTCAGGTTCAAGAAAGGCGGCTGGTAAAGGCAGAGGCAGAGGCAAAGCAGCTGATGCGTCTGCTGAGAAGAAAGCTACAGGAAGAGGCTCTGGTGCCAAACGAAAGAGATGAGAAGCCAACCGCATCGGTTTTCAGGCAAATTTTTTCCGAGAAGTCTCTTTTTGGAATGCTCATGTCTGGCTTACAACGGATTTTGAGGTTGATTTTTTTTTTCTTTTGGATTGGCAGATGAATTTATGATGTTTCTGTAGTGTAAGAGCGGATTCTAGTTTTGCGTGTGAACTCAGAATGCCACTTGCCCTTTCGACTAATGATGAACACTACTAGTACATGATTCTAGAAAGTATGGATAAAATGAACGCAGAATGCTAATGGTAATGGATGAAGATTTCTGTAGAGCTTTTGTCAAATAAACTAGAGTTATATTTTGAAAGTTTCACTAAAAAGGCTATCACAAGGTCAAAAATAGTCTAGAACCAACAAAACTTACTCGATGAGATGATGAAATTTACGTTTTAAGAAGTCAAAAACTAAACCGAAAACCATGCACCATTTTTTTTTGTTGGTTTGACACAACACTATCATAACTAATATAGACACATCGGAACAGATACATCAAATTGGTTTTGCTAGGCCAAGTTTTTGAAGATACATAAGTAGAAATTCATAGAAATCCGTAAAGTGAACAACAATGAATTTACAACAGACCGACCAAATAACCAACAACCCACATAGTCTTTACTCTATTTTTTCCCTTTAGTTTTTTTTTTCGTTTGTTTGACACAACACAGAAGAAGGCGTCTTAAGGCCTACTTTTGGTCATATATAACCTTTTTCTTATTTATTGAGAATCAGAAAACTCTTTTATGTTATCAATAAACCTTCTTTCTATGCTCCCACACTTTTGAGACTTCCGACTCTGTATATATATATATATTATCAGAATTTCACAATGGACAACATCTTCCTCTCTCTGCAAAACACAAACAACAGAACAAGATCTTAGCATTCATTAGAAACATGGGCTTTGAATGGAAGAAGTTTTATCTAAAGTTTTGCAAATGAAGATGCAGAATTTGTAAATCAACGGGCGGAAAATGAAATTGATGAGATAAGCTTAAGCTTAGTTAACAGGTAAAATAAGTAACAGAATTCTATATTGACTAACCATTCTTGAACAACCACTTGATAAGCCACAATCAGTAAATCAAAAGAGTCAAAATTTACCTTGCCAACAAGTTGCTGGCACTTGCTTATTAGCTTGAACCAGAACCAGTCGCACATGTTTCTTTAACACCTCTTTCATTCATAGAATGTTCATCATCCGCTTCTGATCTATTATTATGCTCATTGTTTGATTCAGGAGGTGTGATTTTCAGAGACATCTGATACAGATGCAGTGCTGGGTCTACTGTTTTCTCTCGTTTCTAGACGTTCCATCATGCGAGACACAGTGGCGATTCCGGCGCTGACCTCTCTTTTAACCTCAGAGCCAAGATCAGCCATGGAAGTGTTGCGAGAAAAAAGTCTATCTTTCCAGTTCCTTGTATTCTTTGATATCGATTCTTTGTATCTACATTGTGCATGGGAATCACTTAGAATTGATAAAATTAATATACAAGCCAAAGCTGCCAGATAGAGGCAGGATACCTCGTGGAGACAGCAGTTTAATCGAGACTTTAGTGATTCCGAAAATGACTGGAGTTCTGATGGTCCAGCTCTATCTTGATCACTTGGGGAAGATTGATTAACAGGCCTGCGTATGGTAAAGCAAAGGCAGACTCAGATTGGCTGCATGTAACTACACTGTAATACGAGACGATAAAAGGCGAGAGTTCTGGTAAAGACCTGCTGTTTGAATCAGATGCCGAAGGAGAAACCTGGCGGGGATGAGAAGTTGGTGGCTGCGTGTTTGACTGATGAGAACCCTCCCCTAAGGTATTGTGAGGAAGGTTTGAGACTGTGTCACTCTCATCTCTCTGAGATGGAGAAGAAGGCATGGGAGGATGAGGTGGAGGAGAAGAAGCATTAGGATGTGAAGAGAACACCATAAACTGTGGATGTCCTTGACTTGACGACCTGCTTCTGTGGCCTTCCCTTCTTACCCCATGTCTTGCTCGTCCCATAGCAGCAGCAGCAGCCAAGTGCTGAATGATTCGTTCTTCAATCTCTGCATTATCAACCCCCACTGGCAGCTGCATTTAAGGAAATTTGAACAAAGATAAGATAGAGCTCTAATTAGACAATTAACTAGCAAAGAGATGTAATCAACTCAAAATGATAATAAAAGAGTCACATACATGTTGTAATTCAAAATCACCAAGAGTGGGGTGACGAAATATGGTGGCATTTCTAGATGGATTGAAGCGGAAGTTCCTCTCCTGTTCAACAGCCTCAAGCAACTCCTGACTGGAATCATTGAAATACACATAATTGAAACCTCTGTCGAGGATGCCTCGTGGTAACGTTACCGATAAAAACAACTAAATCATATTACGAGGAGAATAAATTAACCTTGTGGGGTCTTTGAGACTAATTGATTGCCAACACATTGGGCACTGTGAGCTCCTTTGACACCTATAAATTGGAAATACAACACGGACCTTATAAGCTTGGCACAAAGAGGAAATATGGATACAAAACTTGAGGTATTGATTATTCTTCTTCTCTCCCCTTAAGGAGTTGTAAATGGAATCTCATCACTTCCCCTTAAGTTCCCAAAACAAAGTAAAAATTCTATAGTCTCTACACATTCTTTAAGCACAACCCTTTTGGAATATATATGTCCAATGAGAGCTCAAAAACAGCGGTAAATACACTAAATACACGAGGTGTTAAATTTTTAGAAGAGCTTACCATTCAAGAATGCATTGAAGATGATACTCATGCTTGCAACTAGTCAACTGCGAGAGATTAAAAGACAAAATGAATCAATGTGTAACTTGATGAAAATGAAAAAAAAAAGTAAATAAATTTAGGTAACATACAGTGGATGGATCGCTTTCGCAGAAGGATTCAAGACAAATGCTACAAGCATCATCACAAGCATCTTGAATTCCCCCTTCAACAAAAGCTGCTGCCGAAGTCAAATGCCCCTCCGACGTCGTCGTATCTCCCGCTCCCTAAAAATTCCAATAGAGAAGACGAGAAATTCAACACGAAAACCATCATAATTCGAAAATGGCTTCGAGTCCAAAAACAAGGTCATCAATGCAATTACGCCGGATCAAATCAAAATCTAAGCTCATATCGTTGTCTTAGAGAACAAACAAATCAAAAGGGACTCGATTGAATTGCCCTCGCGCAAAAAAAATGAAATTTGAAACGGAAACCCTAACCTCCATGGAAATCGCGATGAATCGGAAGATGAGCTAAAACGGAGAAGGAGAAATGAGAAAATCTGGTGATTGATTGATCAAGGAAGAAAATCTAGGGTTATGGGAGAAAACAAAACCCTAGATTCATGATTCGCCGAAGATAATGGGAGAGAAAAAGGATGAAGAAAAAGACAAAGACTCTCTCTTTTCTTCTTTTTTCTCTGCGCGTGGTCTCTATTGACTCTCTCTCCTTCTCCCTCCCTCTCACGACATTCGATTTTTTCTATTTTTTAATATAGTATATGCTTATTTTAATTAAAGACATTTTAACGCAGTATTTATTTAGCTGGGCCCCAGATTAAGACACGTGTTTCCTTCTCTTGTACTTCATCCTTCATTTAAAATGATTTAAAATTTAATAAGTCTTAAAGATGATTTTTGGATTAATTTAAGAAAGTAATATATAAATTTTTCATCAAAATCTTTTGAAATTTCATAAACAACCATTAAGAATCTTTCGTTTTGATTGAATTTTTTTTGATAATTTTTGTTCTCTTATCAATATATTTTATTGTGGTAATATTTTTAAACAAACATATCGTCTATCTTACATTCGATAGCGATTTTAACACACAAAAAAACATGAACAATACTTGGGTTTACCGCTAGGAGTGAATCTTTATATTCACCCCCTTTTATTTTAACCAATCAGAATTTGCCACATAAAAAAAATTATTTAATTATTAAATCTAATCCCTAAACATTCTTTTATAAACCCAAACCGATATATAAACATCAGTATGAGGCATTCCACTCGTAAGCAGTTTGAGATCTTCGTAGCTTAAGATTGATATGACTTCTTGAGGTACCAAATCATGAAAGCCTTTAACGAATTCGTTGAGTTGCTTCTCAATAGCAATTGTCATTATGTTGACTGCCTTGAGGTCTACAAACTCTTTCTTGTTTGCTTCGGTCACCGCTATGTTTCGTCTGTTGGCCTTAAGGTCGTAGACCTGTTGTGAGTGATTATCAAAATTCAAGAAAAAAGTCAGCAAAATCTTGCGAATAAAAAACATCAAAACATAGACATATTAGCTCATACATCTCCATCTATTTCATCCGTGAACTCATAAATATCATCTAACTTGTTCTCTAAATACCATATCAAGCCGTTGTGCAAATTTGAATCTAACCTCTTTAAGTCATCGAAGGTGACTCTCGCACCAAGAATATGTTTGTATGGAAATTCTCTTAAATTTTTTATCTTATATGAAAATTGTTGTTTTCATCAGCTAACTTAAGGTAATCTTCTGCTTAATCAGATTTACTTTTTTAAAAAAAACTTAATAGATGGTTTAGATTTGCGAGCAATCTGGCACATACATTGTTGTGAATGAATTTGCTTGCAGACCAAGTGCAGTAGAGTTGCTAAAACATTTTTTCTTCTGAAGTTTCAGGAGCTTCATAAAAACGGAACGTAAGTACAACCACATATAGCAAAGTTGGTACAAAACAACTTGGTGGAAAATTTTCATTAATCTTTTTTTTGTAAAATTACTATAAATTGCGAAAGAATATAAACAATTTTTTTAAAAAAAAAGAATATTTTAAAAAAATTAACAAATCTATCGCAATTACAATATTTACGAAAGATTTACTAGACAAATTTATAAGAAATTTGCTACAAAATTTTTCTTCGCAAAATTTGCAAAAAAAAAAAGATTTACTAGAAATTTGCTATGAAATTTTTTCTTCGCAAAATTTGCAAAAAAATTACAAAACTTTGCGATTACGAGTATTATATTGTGAAGGATTGTATTCCTCGTTACAGGTTATCTAAAAAGGAAATAATCGTATATTCTCTAATTTTAAAACACTACAGTAGAAAGTGTAAAGAAATTTAGACACAAGTGGACCAACAAAAAGCCGAGAGTTAGAGGAAAGAAAAAGAAGATAAACGATGTTACAGTTTTACAAACTACGAACCCACCGAAGACTGGTCTGGTCTTCACGAAGGTATTAATTAAGCCTTAAGATACCGTTGTTTCCTCTAGTTTCCAATATAGCCGAGACGGTGAAGGATCATTGCTAAAACGAGCATTAATATTGCAAAGATCAATCCGCCTTTTCCGAGTAGCCACTTCTTTGCTTTCTTCGCTTTCTCCATCCCGGTTTGAGCCCGATCCGCCCATCGCATCTGCAACAACAGTTTTATAATTGAGACAACTATACAGTCAACTTTGCAATGTTCTTTTGGTTTCCCTAAACCGAATTCGTACCATTTTCTCCAAGGCGTCGGGAGAAAGAGAAGCCATGGCTTGCTGAGCTTTTGCAGCATCTTCTTGAGAAAGCTTCATCCCGAATTGTTCGCTCATGCTAGCCATCATCTCTGGGTTCATGTTCTTTATCATAGATGTGAACATCTACCAAATACAGAGAAACTACTATATGAACATCTACAATCACATTATGTTGACTAAAATTGGTAAAACATAAAACCGAAAATGATCAAACCTGTCGCATCGCTGGATCTTTCATTTGGTTTCTCATCTGTTCCTGCAAATCAGCAGGTGGAGCAGAAGGGATGCTTGGTTCGAAACCGCTTCTTGGAGCCACAAAGGAATTTCCCAAAGAACTCCCACTCGCTCCTAAACTTTCCCGTGGTTCAGATGCTTCTGCATTGCCGTATGATGTTGAAGCTGGAGCGTTTGCTTTCAAAGACGATGCCATGTTAAACATCCTCTCACGCTCTTCTGGTGACATCTTACTCATCATATCAGATGCAAGTTTAAGCATGTCAGGTGTGGGTGTAAAACCGTTTTCTGTAGATGGCGCAGTTGGGGCGAAAGGGTTATCTCCTTTAAACGAAGAGGCTGTTTGAACCATTTTTTGAATCTCTTCAGGTGACATTTTGCCTATCATACTCGACGCAGTTTTGAACATGTCCGGTGACATGTCTCCAGCTTTGCCTCCGCTCAGAGCAGCAAGTGTATCGGGATCAGTTTTTGAAATGAAGTTCTGGAAAGTTCTGCAGGCCATAGAAAGAATAAAAAAAATTATCATACTAATTGTGCCACAGCCCACATGTAGCCGAAAAAGGAGGCTTTAGATTATATTTGTCTTCAAGCTTAGGAGACAAAAAGATGAAACAACACATCAAACACTAGTTTGGAAAGGTGTAGAACCTGATTGCTTCTGGATTATCTTTGAGAGCCTGCAATCCATCAACATCAGTCTTTACGCCCTGAGCATGACCATTAACATTTCTTTCTCGTTGTGTCCCAGTAACCTCTTTAGACGATTTTTTATTCCCTCCGGAAGTAACATTATTTTCTTCAGTTATGTCTTCAATCACCACACCTAATAACCAAACAACATAACATTTTTCAGCTGTTTTCCCAATTCATGGACGAAGCATATCATTGATGCAGCAAAGAAACGTCTGGTCTGACATAATACACTGTATTATTTCGTATAAATCATAAGGGATAAATATTATACCTCTTGATGCCTTGCCAGGTCCCTCGACAGCCAATCTTTCCTTAACATCTCTGCATCAGAAAAGATAATACGTAAAGTCAAAGTTATTTTTAAAATGTTGATACCCAAACCTCTGAAATAAGCAGAATAGAAAAGTATGACATTACAGTAATCAATATAAAAATCCATACCTTAGCACATCGGCAATTGTCTCATCTTCTGGGGAAACTTCATGGGCCTTGCTTAGATCAGAGACGGCATCCTTATAGTTTAAGAAAGTCAATAAGCAAACATATAGTCAGGACATATATACAGTACGCACATATATATTGACAAGGAATCTCAAGAAAGTCCCATAAGCAACAGAAGAACTCACTTCAAACAAGCCTAGATCTCTGTAAGCTTGACCCCTTCTGTATAGGGCTTTGACATTCCTTGCATCGGATGCCAAAACCTGAAACATTGAAACAGGGTTGAATAGATCATAAAACGCTGTATGACATCATGTGTTACATCTACAAAAAGAAGCCAAAAGACTGCCATCTCCCTCTTTCCTATAACTGTTATCATCTACGAGTTTTCAGAATATTAAGAGCATAAAGAAGGTGTATCATACCTCAGAACCTTCCTTTACGCACTCTTCATGCTGATTCGTCTTCAAATAACAAGACATTAGATTGAGAGAACAAGCCAACAAAAGTGCTCCACCTTTCGAAGATGGAATGTCTTTCAGATTATTCTTCGCCTGAGATATGGTCCAAGAGCATTGTAAAGAAGTAGAAAAAAATCGCATATCATTATAAATAAAACTCTTATTGACAACAAAGAGACTGGCAAGTCAAGTAGCATGACAAATGATACGTATGCAGACTTACACGCAAATATTTCTCTGCAGCATCACTGAAATTTCCTCGGCTATGAAGCTCGTTTCCCTGCCAAACGTAGCAGCAAATGAGATTAACATCAAAGTTTACCCACTGCAGGTACAAGTTCCATAGTTGATGCAACTCTTTCTCCTCACTTTATCACCAGGAAAGCATAATTCAATTGAAAACAAGGCAACCCCATTCTGTTTCTTAGTTCCAACAGTTTTTTAAACTAAACGAAAACTCGAAAAGACAAATAAATACACCTCCCTCCCAAAGCCAATGTTACCTGTTTTTTAAGCATCTGAGCTGCATTGATCTGATAAGTAAACTGAGCATCAGCATGAGCACGCATAGCTGCAATATCTTCAGGGGAAGCTTTCGCCATCTTCTCGCTAATCTCAGCCATATCTTCAGGCCGTGTATGCTTAAGCTGTTCAGCAGCTTGTTTCAAATCTTCAGGCCTCATGTTCTTCATACTCTCTGTTGCCATATTCATCAAATCTGGATTTGACATCATCTGTAACAACAATCGCGTAAATTCATCATACAAAAACAGAGTGAAAAAATCACCTAAATCACAATCACATCAATCAAATAAATTATATATTGCGAAAATTGAATTGATCAGAATCGATAACAGAATCAACGAAGAAATTGAATTGGGAAAAATTAACGAAACCTGTTGTTGGATCCTAGCGAAATCAGCAGGAGTCATACGACTCATCTGATCTTGAGCAAGACGGATCATCTCAGGATCCATTAATCCGTTAAACATCGTTTTTTTCTGGAAGGTTCGATGCGGTTCTGTGTAATCAGATCGGAAAACAGAAATCGAAATTCGCCGGAGAAGGATAAGCTCGGAATCTGGATCGAGATTTAGAATTTACGAAATTGGAGTTTGTGTGAATCGGAAAATCGAAGGAGAATTGTTTTGACCGACCCCGAAAGTACTTTCGAATAATATAGAAATCAAAATTGGAAAATTTATCGCTCAACCTCCTCAATTCACCGACCGGAATATGCCTGGATGGGAGGAATGACGTTTTTACCCTTGCTCTACGATGATGCAGTGACGTGCCATAATAAATTAGTTAAGTAATTGTATTAATTAACGTAACTATGATTATGTGCAATTGTGCATGTCCTTGTCCATGTTGGAGAAAACTAATCTCGTGTTTTTCTCTTAAACTGAACCGAATCTCTTATTAAACTCTTTTTTTTTTTTTCCTTTTTAGAAAGAGTCGTCCAATTTAACTGTTACACGTGTCTCGGTGTACATATAAGTTGTGTTTGGTAATATTTTTTTCAATATTGTTGCGACATCGTTTCATCGACGAGTATATCTATGAATTAATTTTTCTGAAATGTTTATTTCTCTCCACCGCAGCATAAATGTTTGAAAGAATGGAAACGGTGGTAGTCACAATAGAAGAGGACCACTTTGACTAAAGCTAGCTACAACTCTCATCTATCTTTCCTCTCCCAAATAATCAAAATTAGCAGAGATTATGATACAGTACTAAATGATAACAGTCTGAGAGAAGTGAATGTTGATTGATCACTATCAATTAACTAATCACTAGCTATTGCAGCGAGAACGAGGAAATTCTAGCAAACCTCTTCTCCTTAGTCCCAATGAACTAATAAAGTTATATATATATCATATAACAACCAAGAAGGAAACAACATCTTCACAACTTATAGTTAATAATGCAATATTGCTAAAGCACAAGCTCTGATACATGTTGTGCAACATCTCTCGAAGCTAGATTACAACATGTGCTTCTAAGTTCTAAATAGATTACAACAAAGCAACTTTTTTACACGTTTACACGAACCAAAAGATGCATACACATAGCCTTGAAATTATTTTATTTTATGATAATTCACATAGACATCCTTACGCATTCTATTTTTTTTACATCATCCCTAAATGCTTAAAAATCATAGTATTGATTGTATGGTTAAGCATCTAGGATAATGGGTGAGTTTCTCCTGGTTTTTTGGAATGTACCCTCTATTGAACAACGAAAACGAATGTAAATATTTAGTTTTGTTTTTGATGCCCACATTTTATTGCCGTAACTTTTAAAAATATTTTAAAATTTTAGTTTGCTAAGGAAAAAAGAGTTAAAGAGGATGGTGGAAGGAAACAGAGAGAAGAAGGCTTTGATGGTTGTCGCCTGTCGGGACGTGGAGAGGATCTCACGTGGCAGTTTCACTCTGATTGGGTCCTAAACCGCCGGCCCACGTGGCATGCCACTTGTCACTGGTACCTCTCTTTCTCTCTTTCACAGCAGCAAGTTGTACGATTGCTGCTCTTATTAGGATCCGTCACATCACGTCTCAGCCCCCACCTTCCTTCCATTAACCCATCAATCCGGTCTTTAGTTTTTCTGTGTGTAGTATTTATGGAATCGATTGGTAACATATCACCACCGTATGGTGGTAACAATTTAACATTTTTTGTTTTTGCTAAGAACAATTTACCATTTGAATGGTTACCATATCAAACCGTAATCGATATTTCTTATAATCTTATTTGTTTCGCGATCAAACATATTATTGTTATAAAAATAAACATATTAAGCGGTTTATTTTTTTTCTTCGCTTATAGACTGTAGTCTTATTCCTATTTGTAACGGATATTTGGGTTTACAAAAGACATACCTTATGTTTTACTAATTCACACAACATAGAGAAAAAAGAACCACAAAAGCACGATCATTTTCGGACTTTGGTAATTGGTATGCCGTATTTTCAAATGTCTCGCTATGCAATATTTTCTTGACTAGCAAGTTTTCTAAATTGAGTGACGTTTATCGAATGTCATATTTGAATCAGATTATGAAGTTTTGACAAGTTTAATTCACGAACAAGGGAACGATCGATATGACGTCGTCATACTTGGTGTGTCTTGACACTGAAGAGGTAAAAGCTTAATTTCTAAGCTTGTTTCTGTATTTAAATGCATTTCTTAATCTAAATGCATTTCTTACTATAATTTCTGCCCTGAGGAATGCAATGATTTAGAATTCGATCGGTACGATCAAAAAATTATATTCGCTTGGGTTGGTGTGAACGGAATCCAACAGAAAAGGCTCTGATTGGTGGAATTGGTGGTCTCTCAACAAAACTAAAACCAAAATTATTTGCATCTTTATCCACTTCTTCACGGTTCACATCTCTCGTCTTTATCTACATATTTTATCTTGTTTCTTTTTCCTCGTTTTAAAACAAGTTTAGCATGTTATCAGATTCAGTTTTACTTTTCTCAACTTTAATTATGATTCGTTTTTGTTGTCATGTGTACTTTTCTAAATATATTTAAAAATTTGCTTACACTTCTTTTAGCGAATATCGTATACTTTTCAAAAAATATTGTATCTCATGGTGTGATGTTTTAATCACTTTTGAGAGAAATAACCAATTTATATTCGTTTATATACAATAGATAGATATAATTTTGCATACATATATACGGTAACATATATTAAATTTAAATAATCATGTACTGTAATTCTGTAAAGTAAGTGTTTACCTCTCTGGCTCTCTCATAAAAAAAGTCAAAAATAAACTTTTAGTTCAAGAGATAGTTTTCGCAAAAAAACTTTTATATTCATATCTACATTACATCGATATATGATAAAAAAAAAAAATTATAATTAAGGATAACATGTTCTATTAATTAAAAGTGAATAAATACGGAGGAAGTAGGGTGGTCCAAATTTGGCAACTAAATGATAAACAGTGAAGCGCATGTGCATGCATGCAATAATACTAATACATAAATTAGAGAACCGCGATTATTTCCAAATGGAAAAGAGAAGCAGGTTGAAATTATAGAGTTTAGAGAAATTTGATATTAAAAAAATGGTACGAGACTACTTTCTTTTTCCAATACAGCGTTAAATCAAAAAAAAAAAACAAAAAAAAAAACAAAAACAAAAACATATATAAAACATAGAGAAATTGTAATTAGGAAAAGAATTTTTTTTTTCTTTTAGGAAAAATAATGTTTTGCAGATACATATCTCACATTGGCGTTCACTCGATGATCTATATCGATATGATTGGTGGAACTTCAAAAATATTATTGAAAATTGTTATGGAATGCGAAGGAAGAAATTAAGTCAAGAAAAAAAAAAAAAAAAATTAAGTCAAGGTCTCACCTAAAGCTGCGAGAGTGTCAAGATGGACAATTTTTTGTTTGTCTAATTGACTGGGGATCTTTTTAATGGAATATATATGAGATTGTAAAATAATTTCATGTTTGATCCACCCTATCTACTAAAAACTATCATAATATAAATATATAATTATAATATGCCATGGAGAAATAGGTTCTTCTATACGTACCTAAACTCCATGTGAAGGATTAACTAAGTTATATCTTTAATATTTCTTAGGAAAAATTAATTACAAATAAATCGCAGAAACAAAATCCTTGATATTATAAAGAAAAATATGTATGTTCACTAAGAAAAGTATAACATCAATATTTTCTTTTTAAGCAGTAATTATTGACTCTCCCTCCAAGTTTTACCAACGACCAAACTCTTTTTTTTTTCTCCTCTTTAGTCTATATACCGTTGACTCTTTCTTTGTCCCATAACATACCTGATCTGTATTATTGGTTTCTTTTTACTTTCAATATAGAAAATCGATATGTTTCTCAAAAATACGTTTATAATAGCTAATAATCATTTTTATGAAACGCTTTTTAATTTTTTGATAATTAATCATAAATCAATACGATTTAAAACGTTTAAAAACTATTATCAAGTGTGCGTTCTATCAAAACACAGAAAAGTTGTCAATTTGACTCATATTGGGCATCAAGCATCAACACAATTAAATGCATGGTAAATCGATTCCAAACTGTTGTAATTAAATCGATTATTCAAACAATAAGGATGATTGAATGTTGGTGGGCTAAGTAGCAGAACCAACGTCGGTCGGAGTCCAGTCGGAGTCGGAGAGATGGGGGCACATGTCTCGGATAATATAAATAGAGAAAGTGTTTGAATGATGGTGTAATCAAACCAGGTTCAGTGGGTTTAAATCACTGATGTTCCTAGGTCAAAGGACCGAATTACTATATAAGTCAATTGTAAAATGTTACTGATTTTCTTATTTTACTAATTTATACGGAAGAGTAATGTTACATAATTAATATCTAAATAGCGAGATTTGGGTAATGGTAGAAAGTGGTAAATAATTTTACTGTTTATATATATATATATATAAATAATTTTACTGTTTTATATATATATATATATATTTTTTCTCCTGAACAGTAAAGAGAAAGTTAATTAAAAAAAGACTATAGATCAGTGAATTAAATAATCAGAAAAATGGATTATATATGATTGGAAATGTGAACACTGATATAATTTGTAGTACAGAAATTACTTTCACTGTCACTGTGGTCTGAAAAATCTCTGCCAAAGGAAAACAAACCGGGTAACAGTTGCCATACCTCTGTCACTCACTCCCTCTTCAGGGTAATATATATCCAATATTGTAAAAGAAGCCTAAATACTTTTTTTCTTTAACAAAAAATATATTTATATTATAAAATAAAAAAGAAAAAGATTTCACACTTGCAATTCTTTTTAAGCCGCAATTCTTTTAATTTGACTTCACCGGTGGCCCATATGTAGTTATTAGACATCGAATTTAATTATTGACCCTCACAAAAAAAAACTACACAGATAAATTCAGAATTTTTTTTTCTTTAATGATATGGTTGGTTCGATAGGTGAATTTATCAAATAGTGGTAGAAGATTAGTAGATTATTAACCATAGAGTATATTTCAAAATAAGTTAGTTTATTGACTTCCTATGTGGTTTGGGAGGGATTTTGGCGAAGTTTAGTTTCCGACGGGAAATAAGGATCACTAAACCTGAAATTATAGTTACTTAAAATATCTCAAGTGTTTCAAAGTTATTTCGGTTCAAATTTAGTTGCATGCACAACAATATATGTTTGAAGAATGTGTCGTGACCCATATGGGTGTGGTCGAGTAATTGGTGATACTGTATTTAGAAATGTACTAAAATATTTTTTTGGGGTTTGAACTTCGCTCGAAACAAAAATAAAGTTCATATAGGAAATCTGTGTTTGAACTTTGGTGCATGTAGTTTATCTGATAGTGCGGTAATAAGTGATTGGGGTACCCTATAACATTAAACCATTCTAAACTCAAGTTAAACAATGTAGTGGTCATTCGGAAAAAAATCCATTCTGTAATATTTCGAATATATTTTACTAAAATTAATCGGATCAGCCGATAAAATATATTAAAAAAAAAGTAATTTGTCGCGTATTAACGGAATACATATACTAATATCATATAAACGGGTAACATTATTTTAAGAAACCAAATTGGTTTTTGGTGGAACATTAATTTCAACGCCGTTGCTCGTTACAAAAAGAAAGTGGCTGAATTTGTTCTCAAAGACCAAAAAAATAAAGGTCATGATGAGCTCATGATCATCTCACGTAACATGCAATTTGTGTCGGATAATTTGTATAATTCAGCCAAATCTATCATTTAAAATTTCACTGATATATTATCAGTTTTGCCTAGCAATATAACATTTTGTTGGGCAAATTCAGATGATGAATACTAGTTACCACTTGAATAGTTAGTGTGTGAAAATAAGATTGAAAAAGGGCCGTATTAATTATATAGTATTGACAATGAAAGGGGGATAGTTGAATTTGAAAGAAACCTCGAATTTGGACTATTTATGGCGTTATATCCCCACTGTATTGCTTGCAGACACATTTTCACCATACCTTCTCCCTCTCTCATACTCTCGTCATGTCAATCTCTTTAGTACAACAACTCTTTTTTTTTTCTGTGAAATACATAACTATTACTCTACAATTCTGCATGCATTCATATTAATAATCAAATTAGATAATTGGCTGTCTTTTAGTCAAATAAAGCACATTAAATTCTTTTATCATTTCCACTAGTTTCATTTCTGATATTCGATCTACTTAAGTTTCTCCATTATATGTAGTTCAGTTTCCTTAAACTTTAGTACTATAATAATCATTCTTAATATTATCCTGGAGTTAAGCATGAATCAAGATCAACTAAAGTTTCAGTATTGTAAAGGTTGACTAGTTTGATCAAATCTAGCTAGTTTGTACGTAGACCATTGTTTTGTTTTCGGAGTAAACGGATAATAGGTGATGATCGTATTTACTGGAAAATAATATTGGATTTGTGTTTACTGTTGTTTATGATACTAGTATTGTTATGGAACAAGAGAAATGACCAAAATAGAAAGCAACAGAAAACTAATCAACGGCGATGACTTAAGCTAGTGTAATAATAAGTACACCAATCAAACATCGCTTTGCATATCACCAACCAAAACTTTAACCGTCTTTTAAGCCTTGTTGAAGTTTTTCACTGACGAATTTTATTCCGATCTTTTCTTTGAGAAAAAAAATATAGAAAACGGAGAATGAAAATTCGTTTAGAGGCAAAAGAATCTAAAATAAACGAAGTAAGTATAATTTTAAATGAAGAAAAGTTTTTTTATGAAGATTAGATGTTCACAACAAATTCACATGAGTGAAACCGTCCCACACTTTTATATGATAAATGAAATGTCTAAATATAGACATAACATGTTATGAGAAGACTCACACATCACAAACAATCAAATGATAGTATAAATCCAACAATTATATATGATAAATCAGTTCTATTGCTATTAGATGTAAATACTCTATTTAATTTCACTTGTGTATATCACTAGTTAAGTTTTAAACTGGTAAAATTTCATGAATCAATTTTTTTTTGAAGTTACCAGAATTACCATTGCTTGTCACTAAATCGAATAATAAAACTTTTCCGAGTCATATAAAGAGAGCGGTAGAATCTTTGCATCATATATGTAGATTTAAAAATCAATATTTTAAATGAGCAATTGTTGATCTTCATGTAGGTGGACCCCCACTGTACTTGCAGACAAAGGCTTTTAACAGAAGACTAGTGTCATATGGATTCTCTTCCTTAAATTCCCAAAATACCCCCACTCCATAAAAAGAAAGAAAATTTATCAAACCTCCAAATTTCTGCATAATCCTGATTTTCCTTGTCCATTTTAGAGTCAAATCAAAACAAAATTCTTCTGTGGCGATAAGAATCCCTTTTGTTTTGTTGGAAGTCATATTGCTAAGATTATTATGAAAGACAAACAAAAAAACACATTATATCTCTTGTACTATTTATATTATTCTAAATATAGTAGTATTTTTTTAGCATGTTTTGTAGTGGATCAAAATTTGAGACTTCTTTTCAAGAGAGCAAGCACTTCAATATTTGCTTACACAAAAACAGAAAAGAAAATTTAACAAAGAAAAAAGAAAGAAAGATAATTCTTCTCCCAAAAAATTCATATTTGAGTAGGAGGACACTTTGGACAATTAGTGTCAAGTGCCAACCATCCAAACAGACCCATTTACGGCAAAGTTTAATGAAAGAAAGAAAAAACATTTCTATTTTTGCCAAAAATGGGGGAAAAGTACTCACAGAGACACTGTTAACTCTTAAGTATTATGTCATCATAAGCAACCAAAAAAAGAAAAGAGGAACTAATTTCACAATTCTCATAATATTTTCCGATTTTTTAACAAAAATAAAAATCTGTAAATATTGGGCTAGAGCAGAGTATTTATATCACCCACGAGCCTTTGCTTCTTCCTCCTCCTTCATCACCTCTCGTTCTCTTTCTGTTCTCTTTCCGGAGACATTTGTCTAAATCTCATCATCATCATCTTCATCATTCACAATACACTCAAACAAAACCTTGAGAAAGAAAGAAAAAAATATGATCCAAGAAAAGAAGAAACACTTATTAGTGTCTTCTCAATGAAAAATCATTATTAAATCTTTAATGGTCAGATCAAACAAGCAAGAACCACGCGTCTCTGCCTCTGCTACTTATATCCGATCTCTCGTGAAGCAACAACTTTCTTCTTCTATCACTATGACCACCACCACCACAACAACAACCGATGGAAGCGGCGGCGGCAAAACGCAAACGCAAACGCACAAGAAACACGTGAGGAGGCGACTTCACACAAGTCGTCCTTATCAAGAACGTCTTCTCAACATGGCTGAAGCTCGTCGCGAAATCGTCACCGCTTTAAAACAACATCGTGCTTCCATGAGACAAGCCACGAGGATTCCACCGCCTCAACCACCGCCACCACCTCAGCCTCTAAATCTTTTTTCTCCCCCGCCTCCTCCTCCTCCTCCTCCGGATCCATTTTCTTGGACGAATCCATCTCTCAACTTCCTCCTCCCTAATCAACCCTTAGGTTTAAACCTAAATTTCCAAGATTTCAACGACTTCATCCAAACCTCCTCAACAACATCTTCATCATCATCTTCCTCCACTTCATCTTCCTCATCGTCGATTTTTCCGACGAATCCTCATATCTACTCTTCCCCTTCACCTCCTCCCACCTTCACCGCCGCCACTTCAGATTCAGCTCCTCAACCACCGTCTTCCTCTAATGGAGAGAACAACGTGGTGACGTCAACTTGGTGGTCAGAGCTCATGATGAAGACGGCGGAGCCAGAGATTAAACCGGAGGCGGAAGATGTGGTCGTAGTCGAAGATGACGTGTTTCCAAAGCTTGGTGACGTCATGGAATTCCCTTCGTGGTTAAACCAAACAGAGGAAGAATTATTTCATCCTTATAATCTCACTGATCATTACTCATCTCCTCATAATCCTCCATTATCCTGGTAATTAATATCTTTTAATTATATTTTAAAATTTATTCGATATTTTTATCAATCGGTGTTTTTCCTCCGGAATCACCGGCGGTGAAAATTGCGACGGTTCTTGCATAAACTTCAGTGATTGAGTTTGAGGCAGAACACAGAAAAAACAGAATCATTTTCTGTTTGGTTTTGATAATTAAATAGGAGTTATTTGGATTAAAAAATATGTGAAACTTGTGGTATGAGAAGGATCCACATCGGTTTATTGCATGATCTGAAGTTGTCCATTTTTCTTTTAGTTTATGGTCCAATGATAATTTTATGATCGCCGACATCAAGAAAACACTATCCTTACCCCATTTTTCTGAACTGTCCCTAAACCGTCTTGACGTCATACGATATAAATGTAAAACCTTTTTTGTTATGTTATCATTGCTTGTATTATTCAAGTTTGGTTGTTACTTTGTTAGGTAAATTATATTTCTCTTTAGTGTTCTGATGAAACATTTTTGATGTGTGAATATTATTTACAGTATGGAGATTGGAGAAATTGAAGGTATGGATGGAGACGACTGGTTTGCTTGAACCACAAAGATTGATTACTGTTTTTTTTTCAGACATGATGAATCAACTCTTTGGTTCTTTTCTTATTTTTACCTTATTTTTATTTGTTTTCTTTATAAAATTCTCTTTTTGTTCGGAGACATTTTGAATCTTTGAAATAACAAGAAGCCTGCGGAGAAAAAAAATGTTCGATTTGGCAAAGTCACATGAATGCAATAAACTTCAATTTTCTTTGATTGAGTCTGTTTTTTTGTTAATAACTTTTATTACTAAATTTTAAACGTTTTGATTAACTTCATTTTCTCTTACTGGTTATTTCAATTCTCTCATAAAGAGTTTTCACAACATGTTACAGCTTTATTAGGCCCCTTGAACTTTTGTCTAAACTTTGCTATTCTCTTCATATGCATCATTCACTTCACCAATGTCCATCTCATCATCATCATCTGTTACCACATCATCATCATCATCTTTCTCAAATCCAACACTCATATCTTCATCTCCTGAACCACTCTCCAGCAATTCTCTCTCTTCCATGTCCAAAGTATCATTATAAGTTGGAATATCTCTCTTCCTTCCTCTGTAACCGGTAAACTTCAGTAACTTCTCTTTCCAGAGTATCAAAGGACATTTCTCAATCAGCTCTGGCCCTTCGTAACCTTCTGTCAAGAACACGCTGAATCTCTTCCCTCTCTCAGAGACATAGAAGATACCACAATGCTTCAAGAAAATCCTCATCAGCTTCTGCGGCATCACAAACTCCCTCCTGAAATGGGTCAGGTGATCCGTCACCAATCTCTTCTCTAGTGTAAAACTAAGCAGTTCGTGCATAACAGCAATTGCCCGCTTGTCGAATTCCTTTGAACCAGCTTCGAGTCCATGTGCATCGGCATAAGGAGACAGGTAAGATCGTTTCTGAAAATGTTCAATCTTCCCTCTGTACCTGTACATTTTCTTGTACGACGGAGGAAACTTCATGGGGAATGCAAGTGAAAGCATACCTGGCTTATGATCGCATTCCTCGGTTATACCTAGAGTCTTTTTCTCCAACTCTGTGATAGCCCAAGCTGGATTCCATGAAACAAGCTCAAGATACTCTTCTCCATCTCCAAGCTTCCCAACTTTAAAATGCTGAGGAAACTTGTGCACCCAGTTTATCCTAAAATCAAGAGGCAATCCGAAATCCCTCCGGAAATGAACTATCTTATCCAATGGAAGCTTCTTATCAACAGACATCATCAAACACCTAGTCACATGTTCTGCAGCCTTGTCTGCATTCTCCTCAAGTAACTTTTCATGCTCTTCCAACAAGTCTTCCCCTTGCTCTGTCAATCCACACCACAAGACTCCCCTCTGATCTTTATACAATTCAAACAACTTGGGAGACTTTCTGATGAAATCACTGATCTTATGCGGTTTAGGCAAATTGATCTGCCTCCTATACTGCTCCAACGACCTGACGGTCATTATCATATCTTGCTCACCCTTTAACACCTCCATCAAGAAAATCACTTTGGAAGCTATCTTCCATTTCTCTGTAGCTACTTCGAGCTCTTGGACTCTCTTTTCCCTGCTCCTATCTTGAACACGCTTGCTGCTGGTCATGAACCTGACCGATACCCGCCCGAAAGGGGATTCTCCGGCTAAAACGTTTCTCTTAGGTAATATCGCAAACACGTTGTGTGCATTCCCATTCCCGTAGAACTGCAGCCAACAACGTAGCCTTCCCATCAAAAACCTCACCTTTGAGCACATGAACAACCATTAGAATTTACAGAACAATGTCCAGTAATCTGGAAACAGTATACAACAAAATAGCAAGTTCAATGAAAAATCAATTTCTACAAAAATAAGCCGTATTGCAAAGAACATGAATCATGCCCAGTTTTTTCCTCTGTCGATCTACTTAAACACGATAAATGGATCGATGATTACGATTGTTTGCATCAAACCGAGGAACTAGTTTCAGATGCCATGAGTGATATAAAATGTGCAAATTTACCTTAAACAAATACGGCAGTGAAATAATAGAGGTTGATGGTAGAGCGGCGAGGTGAAAAATGGAGGGGAAGCCATGCGACGGACGTCCGACGGCGACGAGAACACAAGGCAGAGGAGGTTGCTCAGTGTGTCTTCGTCTTTCTTGTAAATGGGCCCAATAAAGCCCATTTATTTATGGGCTTCTTTTATTAGAGTCTGAAAAATTCAATGTTGTTATCGTTGTCAACAATAACGATTGATTGTGTTTGTTTTGTAATGTTAAGGACAAATGACAACGCTATATATCAATTATTGATTATTAATTCAATTTTTAGACGTTAAATTTTAAGTCCATTGGTATAATTCTAAATCAATAGTCGAGAAACTCGAATCTATAGTTAAAACCTATTGTTGAATCTTTTTTACCTATTGTTGAATCAACGATTATAAAATGAATAAAATTCCTTTGTTGTTGATAGTCGTTTGTTATTGACAACTACGAAACAACAAATAATAAAATGTCTCGTTACTCGTTATCCAAAGTCTGTTTTAAAGAGCTGATGAACACAAACCTATATAAAGCAATTAATATAATAGATGATTAAGAATCTAATGGAAGGACCCAGTTAACAGAAATATCAATGAATTTAATCTAATGCATGGAAGAATCTAGGTAATAGATGATTAGCGTGGAAAATGAGAGGACCCAGCTAACAGAAAGAAAAAAGAAGAAAGGAAGGATCCAAATTCCTTCACACAAGTGTAGCTTTCATGAAACGTGACACAATACTATGATAGGATGTTGACCAAACACATGTCTATCTATCTTTTTATCTATTAAATATTAGTGATTTAAAGTACTAATTTATATATGGCACAAGGACTGGATCGAAATGTGTTAAAAATTTAAAAATTTCATGCCTTTCATTGGAAAATAATAATTTAAAAGAGTGTTACCAATTATACCAACACCATTTGATCTAAAGCAAAAACGTACAGTGGCTTCCTTCCTCGAAATCACATGTTCTTATCTCTCAAAATGGTATTGTTGTATTAACGTTCAATTGTATCGGTTTCTATTGGACTTATATGCGATATGCCAGGTGAGAATAAAGCAAACAAAGGTTAAAACTAAACGGGAGAAAGAATGTAAAAGAAAAGCTTCAACAAAAAAAAAAGAGAGAGATACATTTGAAACATGGCATCGGTAACTTAAAACACATTTTGAAGCTAATTTTCAAGATCACGAATGCCAAAAATACTAGATTTAATTTTTAGAAGAGTTTTTTTTTTTTTTTTTTAAATCAATCACTCGATCAAATTTGTAGAAAAAGTTTTAAACTGAAAAACTCTTTTGTTTTAGTTAATTATATTCATTTAAGTTTTTAAATTCTAATAGTGAAAAGGATTAATAATAGATTACGGCCCTATTTTGTTGTCTAGTGTTAAAAAAAAAAGAAGAGGTAAAGATGGTTGTGAAACATATAAGAACAGCACGTGTGGAATAATAAACATGACTTGCTTCCGCGTTGCCACGTAATCATCTTCTTCAGCAACGCGCATACAATCGGCGACCCTCTTCTTCTTATTAACTGTACTTATCATACACACATGTATATATACACTCATAAGCCGCCATTTTCACTATACAGTCAGCTCCATAACAACACCTGAATAAGTGAATATACTCGAAAAACCCTACTTCTTTATCTCTCTGTCTCTTTGAACCTGAATACACAACCCTAATTATCATCTATTCCACACATTCTCTCTCTCTGCATTTAGAAATATGGATGCATCGCCGAAGTACACAGGTGTACGGAAGAGGAAGTGGGGAAAATGGGTGGCTGAGATTCGTCTCCCCAACAGCCGTGACAGGATCTGGCTCGGCTCTTTCGACTCTGCTGAGAAGGCGGCGCGTGCTTTCGACGCAGCTCTTTACTGTCTCCGTGGCCCCGGAGCACGTTTCAACTTCCCGGAAAATCCGCCGGAGATACCCGGTGGTCGTTCTCTGACGCCGCAGCAGATTCAGATCGTAGCTAGCCGTTTCGCCTGCGAGGAGGAGGCACTACCACCGCAACAACAGCAACAACATCCTCCGCCGTCGCCACGTGACGACCATAAGATGGAAGAAGAAGTGATAATTTCGGCACGTGGGGAAATTAGTGGTGGTAGTGGTGGGCCCGCGTTAGGGCAAGTTGGGGAAGATAATAACAACGAGGCTAATAGTAATAATGACACGACGTCGTATTGGCCTTTTATATGGGAGGAGGAGAATCTTGTAGGTCCTCCAACCTCGGATGAGTTCGGTTTTTTCACGGATGATTCAACCAATTTGTACTTCCCGACACAACAACAACATCAGCTCTCGTCTGATTTTTACTATGATGGAGCTTGTGAAGATGATTTCTCTCATTACAACATTAACCTTTGGAATTTCTGAGATCCATTTTTTGGTGATCTTGGACCAAATATTCCTATATTGATTAATTCAATTTGTGGATTTCGAATTCGAGATTTCAGATGCTCTTGAAGCAGAATTTCCACCACCCACTAGTAGTGTGAATCATTTGTTTGAAGCCTATATATCCTATATGCCACAATTTAAGCAAGCCTCTTACTTCTTTATGGTAGAGTAATATAGCTTCACTACTTTTATCATCCTATTCTTCTTCTTCTTCTTCTTCTTAATATATGCCACAAGTTTTTTTTTTTTTTTTTTTTTTTGGTATTTGTGTGCTTTATATTACCTGGCACAATGCAATTTTCTTTCTTTTCTAAGATTCGCTTGCATTTTTGTACAAAGCCAATCTTGGCCCCCCTATCTTTTGGTCTTATAGATGGTTTGTGAAGTTTATACCTAAGGTTCCATATGTGGTTTTCTATAAAGTACTCACGTGTTGCGTGGGTGAAATGTTGTTATATAAATAAATTTTGTATTAAAAAGTTTATACAAATATCATGTAAATGATGTTAGTTCAACTAGTTCTTGAGGTGACATTTTAATACGGCTGAGGTTTAAGTTATACTTGAAAACCGATGATTTACACTTTATGGAGTCATCGTATATATGATTACGAGTTTGGATTATATAAGCCAAAATCCATAAATAGCTTCATAACTAACAAAATAAATATTAGGTGGATTAAATATGGCATAAGTATCATAAATATCATCTAACTTGTTCTCTAAATATATCATATCAAGCCGGTGTGCAAATTTGAATCTAACCCCTTTAAGTCATCGAAGGTGACTCTCGCACCAAGAATATGTTTGTAACATGAAGTTGTGAGCTCAAAATCCATAAGATGGCCATCTACTAATGCCTTCGCCAACTGCAATTGTAAACCCAAACAAATTCAAGTAAAACCAAGGAATACTCAAAAGTTAAATTTGAAAAGTGATTTTGTATATCATATTACCATGCAACCTGTGAATTTGTAGTAGGATAGATCAACATAAGACTTGGGGTTTGGCTGATAGGTTACCTCATTTTCAACAGCCGTGAAAAGCTTCAATCCAAGTATATCCTTTGACATTAGGTGATACTACTCTCTGGTCAGACCACCGACGTCTATTCCTCTCTCACCCCGAAAGATCATTTGAAAGATGGTGAAATCGAAAGTTGAAGAGAAGGTTCTCTCGGTGGATAAGCTTGCCAGTGAATGCGGGCAGAGTGGATCCGATATTTTCGAATGTCCTACGCAAAATAAAAAAACATGATATTTATATCTTTTTTTGCAAAATTACAAATCATATAGTAATAGTATAAAAAAGGTCATACGAAAACTTGATAAAACAGCTTTTAAACCCATAAGCAGTTTGTAAAAAAAAAACAATAGTAAAACTCAAATGATTTATTTCAACTCTATTCATCAAAGCAAAGTCTTCGATTTTGTAATTAAAGTCAAATACTTTAGCAAGCAAATAGAAAAAGAAATAACAACGGAATCAATAAAAAAAACAATTTGTACAAAAAATGAAATATAGTAAAACTGAAGAACTTAGGTTGCTCTCTAGATTAGCTCCAACTCTGGTTTGAGAGCCTACCCAAAATACAAGTCCAAGGTCTTATGGGTTCTCCTCCATAATTGCTTACTAAATTCTAGTTGGCTCTATATAATTCTAGAGAAGATTACTAATGGAATTAAGGTCTAAAGTTTATTAATTATCCTAAAAAAAAACAATAATTAGTATCACCACCACTCAAATTAAGTTTTAACTTGAACCTCATCCGTATTAAAATGGCACCTCAAGAACTAGTTGGACTAACAGCAATTCAATGATATTTGTATAAACTTTTTAATACAAATATATAACAACATTTCACGACATCAATTCAATGATATTTGTATAAACTTTTTGATTAAACGATTGTTAAAGAATTTGTTGTAAAATGTATTTGTATGCGTTACATAAAGTAGTTTTTGATGGCGATTTTGATAACTTTAAATAGTGTAATGACTCTCGTTTAGGGCTGGCCCTAGGAGGAGCAATGTGAAGCCCAATGGTCCCCAAATTTCAAGGATTCCACGGTATGTAAAATAATTAGAGGTATAGCCCAATGGCCGAAAAAACCATAGAATTTGAAACATTGCCATCTAATAATTAAAATACAATGGATGAACAAAAAAAAAAGTTGATAAGGAAGATTTAGACCATTTTCTATTGGTGCGTGTCATCCTTACACAGGCTGCATGGTCATGCTAATCTTCAATGTATCATTCAAATTTTATCGCCTGAATGGTCAATGGATGACAAATTATGTGGTTGTATGGACGTTTATATTCTTGCACAAGAGTGAAGTTTGCTGACAGGGACGTACTGGGTGGTGATGTGCTCTCTTTAATAGCATGGCATGATATCAAAAGATTACGAGTTTAGGAGTTCTCCAAGATCAAAAGATCTTAACTTAAGTACATCTCGACACGGATACGAAGTGTAAACCCAACAATTGACTATCAAAGCTTTCCACAGAGTGACAGAAAGAAAGAGATCTAAAGAGAGAATACAACATACGAATGAAGAAGACAACAAACTTTTCTTACAGCTCCCTGTTTGGCTGTCTCTGAAACATAACGCTAACAACTTCTGTTAGCTTGAAACGACATCATCATGATGAAGCCAACAGTCTTCAACCAATCCTGGTTTAATCTCTGATATGTGTAATGTAAAATATTATAGAATATAATATATTATTGAGTTGTGTTTTAATATCATAACACAAATACATAAATATAGTGGCAACATTAATATAATGCTAACATCTATATAATGTAAACTTTCCTAAACACATAAAATAAATATGCTAAGATAATATTCGAGATCTAGAGAATTCTTCTTTCGAGTTCACGGGATTTACCACTATACGGGCTTTCATAGCCCAAAGTACTTGGTCCGCAAGATACACATCTTGCTCTCCAAGTTATTTTAATATGTAAACCGAGTGATTACTTGATTAGAACAGGGAAACTCTAAGCATACCAGAGTTTCTTGTCTCTTTGAACCCAAACTCGAAACCTCTTTTCACCTGAAGGTCTACTGGCCAAAATTCTTCACACGACCTGTCCCTTGAGTTTCTAAGGTTCTTGTCACATTTAGTTAGCCAATATATCACTTTAGTCTCATTCTATTGATGGTAACTCTTGGCGAGTCTAAAATCATGCAAGCACTACGTTATGCATTAAGGTTGCATGGGATCACATTCGAGATCAAAGAGATAGTCTTCGAATCTAAACTGTTTCAATTAGCTTACGAATCATTCATAAACTCTAAAACTGAAGAACTCATGTTGGACTCAAGATTAGCTCCAACTCTGGTTTCCGTGAGCCTACCCAAAAGACAAGTCCAAGATATCTCTCCTCCATAATTGCTTATTCAAGTCTAGTTGGCTCCATAGCAGCCTCCATATACTTTTCTTTGGCATGTCTAACTAAAAAAGTAAATCGTACAAACTTTATTTCTTTCCATTTAATGGAAACCTCTTACCCATAAAATAACCACGTACGTTATATACTTAATGTGGGAGTACTTTTTAAGTTTTAACTTATCGTGCGGACAATTCATGACGAATAAGAAGGTTCCTTCTTTTTTGTTAATCACTATCTAGAAAATATTGATTCTCTTGATTATTGTTACCTAAAAAAGATGTTTGCCTAGCATTACAAAAAATAAAATGTAAGCAGAATATCATTAATTACAGGTAAATTATACCAAAGTTGGATGGCTGATGGCGACGCCAATACCTCTTTCTTCCATCGTGTTGTTATGTCTAACTATGCTCGGAATTGTATCAATGTTTTGAGAGGTAATGATGGCCAGAGAATTGAAAATCAAGCGCAGATCAAAGACATGACTCTCTCTTATTTTCAGAACCTGTTGGGAACTGAAAGTCTTGGTGTCTCTCCCATGGGTGCTGAGGAGATTAAAAGGCTGCTGAGTTTTAGGTGCCCCTCTACTCTGTTTCCTCAGTTATTAGCAATACCATCTAATCAGGAAATTCATGACAATTTGTTCAAGTTGCCTAAGAATAAAGCGCCGGGTCCTGATGGATTCCCTGTGGAGTTTTATTTAGAGGCTTGGGACATTATTGGGGAGGATACTGTTGCAGCCATCAGAGAATTCTTTACCTCAGGCTATCTTCCTCGACGGTTTAACGCTACTGCAATTGCCTTGATTCCAAAGGTTACTGCTGCAGACTCATTGTCTCAGTTTAGACCGGTTTCATGTTGCACCACTCTTTATAAGGTTATTGCCAGGATAATCAAAAAAAGACTCAAATTGTTCATCCCCGATGCGGTGCAACAGAATCAGGTGGGTTTTGTCAAGGGCAGATTATTATGTGAAAATGTTCTTCTCGCCTCCGAATTGGTTTCTGACTTCCATGTTGCTGGTGAAGTGTCTAGAGGCTGCCTTCAGATTGATCTCACTAAGGCTTATGATAGTCTGAATTGGGATTTTTTAATCAACGTCCTCAAAGCTATTGATCTGCCGGATTTGTTTATTCAGTGGATTAAGGAGTGTATAACCACCACCTCTTTTAGCATTGCTTTCAATGGAGAATTGCTTGGGTTCTTCCCGGGAAAAAAAGGTCTGCGTCAAGGTGATCCCATCTCCTCATTGCTATTTGTTCTTGCTATGGATGTTCTCTCTAAACAGCTTGATGCAGGGGCTGTAAGACAAGAATTTATTCCTCACCCTTTATGTCATGCTCCTCTCATTACTCACCTAAGCTTTGCGGACGATGTCCTTATTTTCTTTGATGGTGCTGAGTCCTCTCTCCAGGCTGTTCTGAATATTCTTGATCACTTCAAAAGTGTGTCTGGTCTGGGACTTAACAAAGAAAAAACGGCATTGTTTCTTGATGGTGGTAATTTTCAGCTTGTTCAGGATATTTCTGCTAGGGTTGGTCTTCAAAGTGGCTCATTCCCTGTACGTTACCTGGGAGTGCCTTTGACTTCCAAGAATCTCAGAAAACAAGACTATCAACCTTTATTGGATAGGATCTCTAAAAGGTTTCAGACTTGGTCAGTGAAAAAACTTTCTTTCGCTGGAAGATTGCAATTGATCAGGTCGGTCATTTATTCTACTATTACCTTCTGGGCCTCAATTTTCTTACTGTCCAACCAATGTTTGGAGGAGATTGAGAGGATGTGTAGTGGGTTCTTGTGGAAGGGAGCTCCTAACTCGGCTCGAGGCGCAAAAATCAGTTGGGAATCTTGTTGTACTCCTAAGGAAAGTGGAGGTCTTGGACTTAGGAGATTACTGGCTTGGAACAAGGTTTTATGCCTTAAGCTAATCTGGTTGATTTTTGCTGGTGGTGGTTCCCTTTGGGTCTCTTGGATTAGACTTCATTTGATTGGTTCTTCAAATTTCTGGGATTTGGAACCATCTGTTGCTGGGAGTTGGATTTGGAGAAACTTATGTAAAATGCGTCCTCTGGCTCGTCCCTTTATCTTTTATGAGGTTGGTTCAGGTATTACTTGTAGCTTTTGGAAGGATGATTGGACTTCTCTAGGCCCTTTGATAGAGATAACCGGAGATTCTGGCCCTCGTATTTCTGGCCTTCCTATTAATGCTGTGGTAATTGACGCGATTCAAGATGGGTCGTGGTGGTTAGCTAGGAGCAGATCTAGAAATTCCACCATTTCTCTTTTGAAGCAGTGCCTTCCCTCTGTTGATATTATTGATCCTTCAAGTGAAGATGACATATTTATGTGGAGAATTGGCGATTCTCCTCCATCTTCTAAATTCTCGGCATCCTCTACTTGGCATTATCTGAATCCTCCTGGTCCACCGGTTTCTTGGCACGAATCGGTCTGGTTTCGAGGAAGTATTCCTAAGCATTCCTTCATCACGTGGGTGGTAGCTCGTCAAAGACTACATACCCGTGACAGACTCATCCGGTGGGGACTTAATGTACCAGCATCTTGCCTCCTTTGCAGCTCCTTTGATGAGACTCTTCAACATCTTTTCTTCGATTGTGTTTTTCTAATGAGGTTTGGTCTTTCTTCACTTCTAAAGCCCATGTTTCTCCTCCAATTCTTTTGGAACATGGTCTTAGATGGATGAAAGACCCATGCCGCAACAAAAACACATCTCTAATTCTCAAGATTATCTTCCAAGCTTCTATCTACTCGATTTGGAAGGAAAGAAACTCTAGACTCCACTCTCAGTCTTCTCGTCCTCCGACGAGTTTGATTTTGGACATTCAAAATTCTCTCAGGTGTAAGCTGGACCCTCTTTCTAGAGCGCAACGTTCCGACTCCGTCTCTCTTTTATCTACTTGGTTTGAAATTTTTCAACCTTAGTTTGGTAAGTAGGTAAGGTCTGTAAGCTTTATTATGTTGTTTTTCGTTTCTCCTCTGTAACCTATTATTATTAATGGAAGTTCTTTAAAAAAAAAAAAAAAAAAAAAAAAAAAAAAATTATACCAAAGTTGGAGGAGAAATTGACTAGTCAAAGCAAGACTAGAGGTAAATAACCCATATTTACAAGTTTGTTTTTATTTTTTTACAAGTTATCCAACAAATAAATCCAAAATTAAACAAAAGATAATAATCAAAGATTACAAGAACCAAACAATGAAACAAGAATTAACAAAAACATAAAACAATGAAACAAGAATTAACAATATGTCAGCATGTACGTATGGTGCATGCAGTCAATAAATGCATTTTTTTTTTGTTACATCTATCTATATATGCAATAATTCGATCAATAATTTCAGACTAAATCTCTCTCTCTCTCTCTCTTTGTTACTCCTATCTTTCTCCAAAAATAATCAAAAAGCTCAATTATTGTTTAATTTGTTTTCTTGCACTATACAAAAACATGGCTCCCTCGTTTCTAAGCGTCGCAAAATTCATTGAGGCACTACTCCGCCGGAGATTCTCTTCCGCTGGTCTCTCTTTACAAACGCTATCCATCGACTCCGAAACCACCATACAGTTCTGGGGACCACCACCGTCTTCAACGTCGGAAAATACACAAAAACCGTCGCTCCTCCTCCTCCACGGTTTTGGCCCTTCTGCTGTATGGCAATGGAGCCATCAGGTAAAGCCACTCTCTCATTTCTTTCGTCTCTACGTGCCCGACCTTGTCTTCTTCGGTGGCTCCTCTTCCTCCGGCGAGAACCGGTCGGAGATGTTTCAAGCGTTGTGCATGGGGAAGCTTATGGAGAAGCTCGAGGTCGAGAGGTTCAGCGTCATTGGTACGAGCTACGGCGGTTTCGTGGCGTATAACATGGCGAAAATGTTTCCCGAGAAAGTGGAGAAGGTGGTTCTTGCGAGCTCCGGTGTTAATATGCGGCGGAGTGACAACGAGGCGTTTATCGCCAGGGCTAAGTGCCGCGGTATCAAGGAGGTGATGCTTCCTGCTTCTGCGACAGATCTTAGGAGAACCTCTGGGATGGTTTCTTCTAAGAGACTCGATTATGTCCCAGATTTTGTCTTGAACGACTTTTGCCAGGTATCTTTTATTTATTTCTCTTTTTTAAGGAAAATCCCACCAACGAAAATCTTAAAGTTTCCTCCGAATTTCAACAAAAGTTTTTAAATCCGAAAACAAAAAACAGTCAATAAATTCGAAAACTTACAACTAATGAATCCATCTATTTTATAAAAAGTGTACGTCTTTCATAAATAAAAAATAAAACAAGATGTTAGTTTTGTTTTTTTCGGCAAAATGTATTAACATTATTTTGCAATTTGTACTAGATCAATTTCTATGTTTATATGGAAAATATAGAACAATAGTATTTCTTTCGAAAAACAAATTAAACTCACACTTATTGCAAATTTCTATATTACACGAAAACAGATGAAAGTAGTGGAGTACAAAGATGCACTCCACTTGTTTATCTTTATCAAGACTGATTAGTTAAAGAAAGTTGTCACTTTCATTTGGTTATTGTAATTAGTAAAGATAGGTTTTTTTTTTTTTTTTGGGTCAACACTCAACAGTAAAGCTAGTATAGAATTGGGTATAATAAAGAACGGATGGCCTTGTAGCTCCCAAAGAAGGACAGATATTACTCAAATTTATAATTTAAAATAAATAAAATACAATTATATCGTTATTGAAAGAAGAGTGTAGCTTACATGATTGATATATAATATTTCAAAAAATTGAGAAACCACAGAAAATGTATTCGGAGAAGAGGGAGGAAAAAGCAGAACTTCTCGAGGGGCTGAGTATTGGGAAGGATGACAAAACAAACGTTTCTCCAATTCAACAGGTTCGCCAATCGCCATCACTACTTTTATTAGTTATTGAATTAGAATTAGTGGGGTTTCTAAATACTATTTTATATGCATTTTGCATTACATCAAAGTTTACAGTGATATCATTGATTAAAATTGAATGATTATAAATAGATAAATATAGAAATGTCTACAAGTAAAAAGTATTATGAATCATGCAGGATGTAATGCTGATATGGGGGGAGCAAGATCAAGTTTTTCCTTTAAAAATGGCACATGACCTCAAAGAGTAAGACCCTTGACTATTTCCATCTAGATTTTGATCTAACTAAAGTTAATGATTAACCAATATCTATGCTAGAAAAAGCGAAGAGTGCAATTTGAGAACTAGCTAGCTTGGAACCAAGGTAGTAATGAGTTATTCATATTCGTGTGTTTGTTTTGTATATGTTTACCAGGATGTTGGGGAATAAGACGACGCTAAAAATTATACAAAAGACATCACATATACCTCAAACGGAAAAGTCCAAAGAGTTCAATGGCATTGTCATGTCTTTCTTATTATCTACTTCTCCTTCACTATAAATGTAACATCCATATTAAATAATGAATTACAAAAATTTCTGATATCGTCGATGTTAGAAGTGTTTATGTACAGTTTCAAATACATTTGAGAAAATTTGATAGTTGTAACATTATTACTCCATGATGATTGATGAGACAACGTCCAGAAGATGAATTCAACATAAACGCGTAATTAAAACGTATATATTTTGAACTACCATAAAAAAACTACGTGATCATATACATGATGGATTATGGGTATTTGTTTTACTTTTGTTTGAGATATATGACGTACACTATTAGGTTCGGACAAAAGCAAAAGTTTTTCTGCAAAATCCGCCGTATGGAGCTTCTAAAGCTTGCTTACAAACAAGAACCCAATCAATTGCTAACATGCAAGTTTAGTTTTAGCCATAGTTCCTCCCTTTTATCTGGTCAGAACTCTACTTCGAAGATTAACTCCAATTCTTTTTTTAAGACTTACGGGTGTGATTGAGATAAAGTTTAAAGTAAATCGGTAGGAAAAAAAAAGCACCTAAAAACAAAAATCAATTCTAACGTAAAGATTTATGCTCATCTTTTATAGAGTAAAGATTTACTCCACTTTTATAGGTTTTGGCCAAAGTAAGAGTAATAATAATATATATTTTTTTGTTTTGTTTGCGCCAACCAAACTCTACAACTCTTCTTTTGGATATTGGAAAATGCATCTTTAGGTAAATGTCTTTTTAGTTCCAAGTTGTCAAATCGCCTAACTAATTATATATGTGATGAAGGCAAGTATTTTGGTAAAAAGTATTTTTATAACCCAATCCTTTATATTATAAAGCATATAAGTCACATGACCAATAAAATTTTGACACATAGATTTCTTTTTTCAAAAATTAATTTTTTTTTTAAACAATTCTAAAATAAAAGGAACGTGTTTGAAAAGTAGAAAAACAAATAGTACAAAACAAAACTGAATTCCCTTTTTTCAAGGAAAACAAAAACAAAAATAAATGTGGGCAAACAGTTTTTTTTACGGAATTGTAAGCCCATAGGTAGAACAAACAGTTTTTTTTCTTTATACAGTTCCACATAATTCTAAGAAAACTGTAAAAAAGTCTTTATCCCTAATTTTCTCCCACTAACACTTCCATGTTCATCTTCTATTTAACTCCAATGAGTTCAGTTTTTCTCTACTCGATCTTTCTCTACTCGATCTAACTCCAATGAGTTGAGTCTATTCATCTCCATCATTGTTTTTTCCTCTCTGTCATAGATTTGCTCACACTATCACGTTCGTGATGAAATATGTCACGTTTTCAAATTGTTTGATCTCAAATTTAACTCTCAGTCAACTCAACTTCTTATTTATTTTATCTTCCTTACCATAGTTTTATTTTCTGCAAATTCTCATATTAATCCCTTTTTTGGTTTCTCATCTCTATTTTGTCGGTCTCTCTTCCCCTTCCTCTTCGTCGTCTCATCTGCGTGTTTGTCATATTCACAGAATTTAGCAAAGAAGCTGATCCAGGTTTATGACTACTCTTTTTTTTTTTTTTTTTGAAAAAGGCTTTCTAACAATTACATTCTCTTTATGTCATATTAAAATTTCTCTGATTTTACATGAGTCAGGTTAAAGATGCCAATGCCCTACTGGATTATATTCATACTTCCCAACTAAATACTTCAAAACAAAATGGACAAATAAGAGCTCTATCATCCTAAAGATAATAGTCCTGACATGCAATGCAAGTTAACGCCATTGATAAAGGTAACGAGTAATAACAAGTACCTTATTTTCCATTTTGTCTATAATGCAAAATCATAATTTATGGAGCTTTAGAATCTGGTTTTCAAGGATCTTGCAAACTTATACTTCTACTTTAATGTTTTGTAATAAACTAATTGATTATGATTTTGCATTACACTGTTTTGCATTTGCTATTTGTGTAACGATTAAAAACTATAGCTTACTTTTGTATACTGTGTCCCAATTTCTATAACTCATATGTCTCATGGACATGGTCTAACTTTATGTTTCCCTCTTGAAGGTGAGTGATTAATTACCGGCTATACATCATTACGACAAATCAATAGTGTGGATTAAGGGAAAAGAGGATTAGAAGAAGATCTCTTGGCTGATGACGTGTAGCAAAATCGGGACAACAACGGCAGAATGACGACTAATTAAACCACACTAACTTTTGCAAAAAAGGAAAAAATATTTATATTTATGAAATTGATTTTGTCCCGTACGTAGTACGGGTTAATACTAGTATCGAATAAGTCATAAGACTGAAGCCCAATACCGACCGAGTTGTTCGAATAAACTAGACATAGCGAGGATCAGACACGATCCAAGTGGGTAGGACAGAACAGTCCAGACCCATGCATGGTCCATTGCCGATTTTAATAAAACAAAAAGGCTTTGGCTACTTTGGTTTGATTGCTATCACCAGGGCTAGCTAAAAAACATTTCATATAAAAACCATTTTCTAGAATTTATATTAAAGATAAGGGTCAATTGAATTAGAATTTCTTTGGCTCTAAGGCTTATAAAGTTATAATAGACCACCATGGCTAGAATGGAACTTTAGATGCTTGAAGTTGATTTATGATCTAAAAGCCTTTTTCTGTTTTCTTTTATATCCGCGAAGTTCGGGCGTAAGCCCGTAGGTCTCCATGGACTAAAAGACCAGAGTGGGTAAAATTATAGCTCCTCGCAAAGAATCGAACAGGAGAGCTAGGTTTCATAGCCCTTGATCAGACTGAACCTAGGAGGGCACCACCAGACGAAAACACGCTTGTGTTGAAGGCTTTAATTATTAACAAAACGGATGCTAGTAGTTGATTTGTGGCATGTCACGGGGATGTCGTTCATTGTCATTGAATGATTTCATCTACAACTCTCTAAAAGCATGAATTCCTCACGACCCTTGTTTTTTATTTATTTACAAGAACGTAACATTCCTCCAAAAACACATTCCTAAAAGTCTAAACAGTATAGCATCATAGACAGAGGCATTGGTAAGCGAAAACGTGTGTTTAAATTTAAGAGATAAGGAACGAAATAGGCAAAGCCAAAGTTCATATAATAGTATTGGTCAAGAGCTTCCCTCTCAAGTTGATGTTGAATACGAAGTTGGCACAGTAGTCCACTACCGTTGATTATGTAAAACTAACAAGCAACCAAAAGATGTTAGGTATATAAACGTAAACGACAAATGAAATGGGTTGTGCCTATATGGGATAACAAAAATGGAATGAATGGGGTGAGGCAACGCCACGTGAACGGACGGACAAGAAGGTGGGGGCAACAACAATGAGTGGGGTAAGTGGTTTAGACACGATAGATTTGGAAATATTTATTGAAAAGCGAAAAGCGAAAAGCGAAATGAGAGTGGGTCTATAAATGAGGGCTAAAGGAGGACCCTCATTGACAATGATCCTAATCCTGATCCTGATGAGATCCTATGTTGATACGCGGTTTCGAATTTAAAATATGCTTTACGCAACCAATTCAACCCTAGCGACTCTTCTTCTTTCTTTTGTTTTGCCAAAGTATTTTTTGTCTTCTTTTGGTTTTGTGTAATAAATGGATTCTTATGTCCTCTTTATTCTTTTAAAGAAGAAAAATTGGCGAAAGAGAAAGGGTTTGACTAGACAAATTTTCAAATCTGTATTACAATGAAGTTCATGCATTTCATATCAATTTGTAGATTTTCGTTGATAACTTGCCGAAGTGGCATAATCGGTATAATGTCATTATTGTATGAGATTTTTTGCGTTCCACCTACAAAAGTAATAATGACAAAATCTTCAAAATAATTAGAACATAAAATAATGAACCGAATCTTGAAGAAGATAAACATAAATCTTCCATAACTGGTAAGAAGGAGGACAATTGATAATTAAATGTGAAACAAACCTTTAGCCATAATTTGAAACAAATTATTCGGCTGGAAGAAACATTTCCTCAATAAAGAATTAAAAAGTAAATAAAAAATCCACAGGAAGAGGAAATACTGTCGGCTGGAAGAAATTTTTGGTGGGTCCTACGTTAGATGTGTGGATAAGTCTCACCGTTGCCCATAAAATAAAAAAAGATGACCACCTCGTCATCGCCACGTCACATTCATCCTTTAGATAGTTCCTATCCGGCCGCAACGGTCACCAAACCTCCACGTGTCAATCTCCCATGGTTCTATCGTCCCGCGAACTTAAAAAAGTAATCGAATAATATTATTGGTTTACGACGCAGGTTTTGCAAATAGTCCCTAGATTTCTTAAATCTGTTTGAGTCGCCCCTAAACTCTCGTATTAGCTGTAAAACACTAAAAATTATCATTTATCAAATGTACTCTCTATCATTTCAAGTTAGAAAATTGGCTGTAACGTTTACAAAAAAAAAAAAAAAAAAAAAAAAAAAAAAAAAAAAAAAAATGGCTGTAACAATGTTTGAGTAGTAGTAGTAATAATAATAATAATATTATTATTATTATGTGTTTTACCAAATATTATTAATCAAAGTAGTTGAACAAAAAAATTGTTATGCTGATTTTCACTTCTTTTCTATTTTATTTATTTCTTTTTTCAAATAATTTAAGATTTACCAATTAAGATCCGTGACAAAAAAAAAAAAACCAATTAAGATCATTATATTTAATATTTTACACACTTTTCAGAATTGAAATAAAAGAAGATAAACCTCTTTTTTATGTAGGAGAAAATATATTTCTATTTTTGAATTTTTAATACAAATACAATTTTTATGATCATAATTTTTTTGTCATATAGATTTTTATCGTTGCAACACCCGCGTCTCCCCCAAAACCTCTCAAACCTAGCCGCCACCCCCAAAACTTTTTTTTCCGATTGACCTCTCCGGTGGCCGGCGCTTCTCGCCGTTGCTGTCGTGAGAGGGTCCAAATGTTTTTCTTTTGTTGTCTTGTTGGTTTTTGTTCTCGATCTGTCTAGATCCGGTGTTGGTGGTGAAGATCTTGCTTGGATGTGACGATGGAACTTCTCGGCGAGTCTTCTCGGCTTGTTCGGCAGCTAGCTTCTCTGGTGAGAGTTGTTTTTGGGTCTCCGACTTTTGTGGTGCTATCGGATGCTCAGTGTTTGTACAATCTGGGCAAGGTTCTGGCCTCGGTGGGGCACTGGAGCTTGTTGGGTCGCATATCTACGGCTGTGGTTTCATTTGTGTTTCAGTCCGGTAAGCAGACCGTCGGGTCTGATTTTTTCCCCGCTTTACTAAGGTTAGATGGTTCTGATTTAGTCTACTAGTTGTAGTTGTTGCTCGTGTAACTTGATTCGATGGTTGTGGCCTTGTTCTTGGAGTGTAAAATTGGATCTTTGCTCTACCTCTCTGTTTGGTCCTCTTGCTTGTTCGTTGGTGAGCTGTGGACTGGGTTCGTTCTTGGTGTTGGCCTCTCCAATGGTATTTTGTTGCTGAGCCACTTACTAGCCTTTCTCTGAAGTTCTTGTTTTAGAGTATGGTTTCAGGCAAAGCAGTGGAATCGATCTTTAGCTCTTCTCTTGCGAGGAGGTCACAGTTTTATGTCTGTAAGTGGCTGAAACTGGTTCGACGAGTGTCCGCGTGTAAGAGTTGCTGATCTTCTTTGGCTTTTCTCCAGTCGATTTTCAAGGTGTTCTACCTTGTTCCTAGTGTTTTTGCTCCATTCGTTTGGCTGGTGAGGTTTGATGGTAGTTGTATTTGTGTCTTTGGTCGCGTTGGTTTCTTGCTTTCCTCCCTGTCGGTTTTGCTACTGGTTTGTCTTCGGTGCGAGGTCTATCCGGTCTTATTGGTGCTTCCGGCGTTTCACAGGTTCTATAGGGAAGCTTTGTGGGAGTCTCTCGTGCCTTTGTTCAATTATAGGGCTTAGATTACTTTTTCTCTATGACGTTTGCTCTTCTTTAAAATTTTATTTCTCTACTTGGTTATAATCAGTTTCCCTGTACTTTGGGGATTTACTTCCCTCTTTTGGGCTAATGACTCTGGAGACATTTCTGTTGTCCGCCGACATATGTAATTTCAACTTGTATCCATTCTTGGTTTAATAATAAAATTCAGACGACAAAAAAAAAATGATCATAATTTTTTGTTCATTGGTTTGTCTCTCTATTTTATATATACATATAAATCAGTAGTTATACAAAATAAGTCTATAGTTATCTAGAAATGCCTCAATAATCAGCCAAATAAATCTAAACTGATCCTAGCATATCTCATTAAAATAATCAACACAAACCTTATAAATTGGGGTGATGCCAACAGTTATGGGGTTTAAAATGTGAAAAAGAAAAGTATGACGACGAAACTATAAATAAATAAAAAATAAGGTGAGAACTCCATGCAGAGTGCGTGGATGAGGATAAGGTTAAGCCAACAGTTTCTTCTGTCCCCTCTTCAAAACTTTACTTATCTTCTTCCATTTTTAAATTTTAATGAGAAAAGTAATAAACAACGTGATAAATATTTAAATAATTCCTTTTTTGTTTTCATTAGTATTTAATGTTATTACGAAACAACCAGAGCACATAGACAAGAAGATCACATTATAAAGCTCTCATCTTTCTCTTCTCTTTCTTTCCTCCTGTATCTGTATTGTGTGATTTATTAGAGAAAAAGTTCCAAGATTTTCTACTAGCGATGGATAGTGTTGAATCTTATGAGTTTAATATCTCCGGCGATAATTCTGATGAATCTCCGGGGATGCGTAGTTGGTTCTCTCCGTCCCCGTCTGACTCTTCCTCTTCTCCTTCTTCTTCTGCTTCTTCTTCCATTGGGAGGAATAGCGACGACGGTGAGAAATCGTCGGAGGACGGTGAAGATGACACCGGAGAGAATGAAGTTGAGTCTCCGTATAAAGGTCCTCTTGAAATGATGGAGTCTCTCGAACAAGTCTTACCTGTTAGGTGAGAAATCTGATTCTTTTGTCTTTCCTTCTGTTTGTTTGAGAAAGATTTCGAAATTGGGTAAAGTAACGATTTTTAAGACTTGAAACTTCTAAATTTGGTATTTACGAATTTAGTATCAATTTTGTTTTGTGTAGGAAAGGGATATCGAAGTATTACAATGGAAAGTCAAAGTCTTTTACTAATTTAGCGGCGGAGGCAGCGTCGGCGTTGACTTCTTCTTCGTCGATGAAAGATTTAGCGAAGCCGGAGAATCCCTACAGTCGGAGGAGGAGGAATCTTCTCTGCCATCAGATTTGGGAGAATAACAAGACGACACCACGTGGCGGGATCTCGAAGAAACACGTTATGAGTTCAAGTAGAAGTGCTTTGACGCTTGCTATGGCGGTTGCGGCTGGTGTGATGACCGGAGAAGGATCTTTATCAGGAGGAGACTCGTCGCAGGGATCAAGTCCGACGACATCTGGATCTCCGCCGAGGCAGAGACATCATCAACATCAGATGAAGAAGCTTCCTCCCTTGTATCCTAGGAGTCAAGGGTCTTTTGGTAATTTGACGTCGTCTCAGTCGTCGTTGGGTTTTTGTGCCTGGAGATCGCATTCTGTGGCGGATTTTCCGAGGTGTTTTCCGGCGACGGCGAGTGGGATTGGGTTTAATGACTCGTAGGAAATGATGATAACAATTGTTTTGTTAAATTTTTTATAGTTTTGAAGTAGTAACAACATCCGGTGAATGTGTATAGAAGAGTTTCAATACTTATGAATGGATCAACATCTTTTTTTTTCCATTTTGGTTTTTTATTCTATCAATTAGATTTCTTCGAAAATCTTTATCATATTGAAATCTGTTATCTATGTGTGGAAAGTCCAACATTCTTCTTTATATGTTCTTATCCAAGTTTTAAAAGCTAAAACCATATGAAATTGAAATTATCTATATTTGTTTATTATATGCAAGTAGTAATTAATAAGGTTTTATGTCTGGTGATAAGTGGTTTCAGTCCTTATCCACTAAGCCTCCCGAAGTACATTTACACGAAGATGCATTTGTGTCCACTCTTTTAAGCTAACTTTGGAAAGTAAGTGGTTCGGCCTTTAGGCTTTATTCACTCTTCCTTTTCTTTTTTCTGAAGACATACTTTTTTTCTCTGCTTCTATGGACCTGATTTATTACCTAACTGGAAGTGGATTTTGCTGGTGAGATGTTGTCGTTGAATTTCAAAGAAACTTAGAAGGGGTAAAAAATAGTCGTAAGTCCAACAAACGACCAAAAATGGTCAAATATACAAAGCCTATTTTGAAAAGAATAAAGGGTCAAATATATGCTTAAGTTAAGATCTATATTTACGTATAGTTATGGATAACCTCATATTCATGAATAATACAGGGTACATAAACGCTATATTGCTTAACAACAAACAACACTCCAAAAGAGCAGAATATACAAAACCTTCATTCTTCTGCTGTGGAGCCGATCACAAGCTGTTTCCACTTGTTTCAGATTTATGGAGCTGGAGAAGTAATGAATTTGAAACGACGAAGATCGAGCTCAATGCCATTAGTCCACCTGAAATCAAATTAATCGTAGGTAACCATGATATATTATTGGATTGTGTGAATCTGTTAGAGTGGAAGTGAAGCAAATTAACTGGAATCGGAACGGGACTGTTTACCGGATAAGGAAGGTGTCATGGCGAAATCATACTGAGGAAGCAAGACACCTGCAGCTATAGGGATTGAGATGACATTATACGCAATTGCCCAAGCTAGATTCTGATATACTTTCGACATAGTTGCTTGTGCAAGACTCAGTGCATCCACAACCTATAACCACAAAAAAAAAGGAAAAAAAAAGAAAAAAACACAGTGATGAGCTTATATAGCTTAGATTTTGAAGTTGAGAAATTCTCAGGTTTGGTTCTTGTCCCTTGAATGAGGAAAAGTGGCTCATGAAGTATTTACATGTGAAAGTTTGTTGCGGACAAGTATGACTGATGCTGCATTTGATGCAGCGTTTTCTTGTGCCTCGATCTTTAGAGCTATTCCAACATCAGCTTGAGCCAACGAGGGAGCATCGTTTATGCCATCACCAACCTTTGAAAACACACAAAATATGCCATTAGCCTTATTAATTCCGTTTTCAATAACACACCAATTCCATGATTTTTTGAGGGGAAAGATCCATATACGACGAAGTTGGTGTGTTACCGTTTCTAGGATTCACATTAACCATGAACCTAGAGGAATTGACTTCATCGACTTTTCACAGGAAATAAGTCGAAAAAATCATTCTTGCCTTAGTTGAAGATCTTACCATAGCAACACGATGTCCAGAGGATTGAAGATTAGTTATAAACTCAAATTTCTTTTCCGGAGACAAGGAATAATTGGTTGATTCACTCTCAATCCCCACATTCTTTGCCACAGTTGCCACTGCCCCTTCCCTGTCCCCTGATAAGAGGACTGTTTTGATGCCCTTCTCCTGCAGTCTTTAATAAGAAGAACAACATAAAACTCAAAATTTTAGAGACCCTCGACAATTACTGTTTCCATTAAGCCAGAAGGTTCACTTAACTTGAACATACAGAACTAGAGCACAAGTAATTTCATGTTAATAGGCTGACTTTCAAAATTTGAAAACCAGGGTTCCTTAATTTTATGAAAATGTTGACAGTTTAAAAGTAAGGAAAAGACTACCTGGCTACAGTAAATTCAGCATCTTGGCGTAAGCAATCGGATATTGCAATAGCACCAATAATCCCTTCTCCTTCACGGCCAACGTAAACAACAGTCTTCGAATACCTAGACGTTGATGATGTGTTTGATAATTTATGATCCAAAAAACTTTCCAGCTTCACCATGTCTGAGGAGTCGTTCTTTTTGAGGAAACGATCAGAAACCCACTCAAGTGAACCCACTGCAACTAAACGTCCATCTACTTCTGCCAAAGTACCAAAGCCTGGTTCTGTCAGTTGGCCTCTTGTTTCTGGAGTTTTCAGATTCAGAGATTCTGCCTCGTTTACAATAGCCTTTGCTATTGGGTGTGTTGCTGTCTTCTCCACCGCAGCAGCCACTTTAAGAACTTCTTGTTCTTCGTATCTTAGAGAAGCAACACCAGCGACGACAGGTCTTCCTTCAGTAAGAGTTCCTGTCTGAAACAATAACTCGATTTGTTCAACTTTGAGGGGCAACAGGAATTGCACATACACCTATCTTATTTTCTAGAATTTTCCATCTTCATATAAAAAGGAGATAGCGGAGAGAGAGATGGGTGAAGAGGATCATAGAAAGCCCAAAATATTTAGCAATACCTTGTCTAAAGCCACACAATCTATGGAAGCCAGATGTTCTAAGACATCTCCTCCTCTGATAAGATATCCCCGCTTTGCTCCTGGACATATTTAGGCTGAAAGTTTCAACAATCTCGAATTTATTGTTGCTTATTACAATGTTTCAGGTATATGATGTTTAACTACCCCTATAAACATGAAGGATCACCTCAAGGACTGCACGTACGACACCACAGAAACTAAAAAGGAGATTCTTCATGATTTTTAGGCTATTTTTAGTAATTTTATGTAATATGTAAAGTCGCCATCAACAACAAAAGTTTAAAACCAAAAACTAATTTTTCATATATAATGGTTGTCAGCAGGGAAACATAGAGCAGGGACAATCGGTAGCTTCAGTGTTATTTTCGAATCTACCTAATAATTGGAAAACTTTGTACACAATTAGGTTACTCTTCTCAGCTAGGTTTGCAGACTTTTATGTGCAAGGCTGCAAGCTAAATAATACGCTGGATAACATACCAAGAGAGGTGCCAATTAATATGGCAGTTGGTGTTGCAAGGCCCAGCGCACAGGGACAGGAAACTACCTGATAGACAAAAAAAAATTGATTATGCTCAATTTTTATCTCCGTAGTTTCTTTCTATCCCTCTTTTATCCTACATTCGCTTCGTGAAATTCATATTTTCCCCACAATCACCATTTTCCTCCGTCATTAGGTCTGGCTAGTCCGTGATATTATCACATGAAAGATATAACTTTGAGATGAATGGTTCACTCACCAAGACATCCACGGCCAGTTTTAGGCTTAAGGCCAGAGCATCTCCATCAGGTCCAGCAATATCATTGAGTAAAACATCTGGGAATATGTGTGAACCAACGTAATACCTGAAGCAAGAAAACAACTGAGTCTTTCACTTGGTGATCCTGAAAAGGTAATTGACCTATGATACTTCTACATTTCCATTTTATACTATAACTAAATAAACATAGCCCTGCTAAACAAATATATGAATCTTATAAAAATTTCATGTGTTATTTCCGTAAGAAATATTAAAAGAGGACCATACCAGAAGGCAAACGTTACTGCAGATAAAGACATTATAGTATAGACGAAGGGTCCAGCTATTGCATCTGCCAGCCTCTGTACAGGAGCTGCATTACCTTGTGCATCCTCAACCTAAAAATGCAGACAAGAAATGGTGTGAATGAATTAGAGACTCACTACAGAAGAACCGAGGGTTCTGACATGATTTCATTCATACTTTCCCTTATGAAATTAGGTTCAGCTACAAACTTGTAAATGAGTACTATTTGTAGGATTGTAACTCATTCATGATATTTCTATTTGTTGCTGTTTTTTCTCTTTCTGTAGTCAAGGAGGAAAGTCGGCTACAAATTACATAGATTACTGGCCTCACACAATGTAACTTACATTAGATTTCATTGGCTCTAGATTCATAGACACTAACCATTCTGACAATTTTAGATATCGTCGAGTTGGAACCAGTGGAAGAAGCTTTGATCCGTAGAGGGCCATCCTGAAATAGGTAAAGTGAAATTCAGTTATTCATGATCGCTTTATGTAAATATAACTTAGTAACTGAGCACAGTTAGTGCAGCTAGACAGCACTCCCTAGGTAAAGTGGTTCACATTCAGTAATATAGTAACGATTGCTAGAGGATCATATCCCAAAGTGAGAAGTGTGTCATCAGTTGAAGCACTAAAAGAATAAAACCATAAGTAGCCTATTTTTAAAAAATAAACTTTTGTTTATGCGTATACTTACCCAGTTTATTGTTCCCGCTGAAACTGAGCAGCCTTCTTCTTTAAACACGGGAAGTGACTCTCCTGTCAGCATAGATTCATCCACAACACTTCTTCCAGCTAGGACGCTCCCCTATGACGAAATAATTAATTTAAAATGATCACTACGACAATTCACGCACTAACCAGTCACAAGGAATGATAACCAAGCTATCTTGAGAAAGGAAAATATAAGCACATCCATAATAACGTGCAAAGAAGAATGTGGAATTTAACTGAATCTCACTGAATCTCAAGAAGCGCTGAATGTTCTTTTCCCAGTACATAAATCGAAATATAATTTCCTAAAATTACAGAATGATGGTTACCAACCATTTAAATAGATTTTCACGACTTCTTTTCATAAACCCAGTCAATTATATATGCTAAGATCAGACAGTTCAGCATGGATAAGCAACTAAGGAAATCGTAAGATGTCAGAAAGACAGAAACACTTACATCGACAGGAAATGTTTCACCAGGCAAAACCAACAGCGAGTCCCCAACTCGGATATCATCAACAGAGACATTGATGCAAATTGAATCAGAGGAAAGTACAGAATCAGCTGCGGTGCTATTGTCAGATGAAGTAATCACAAGTCTTGACTGAGTGGAGATGAGTGACTGCAAAAACACGTGTGAGTCAAAAAAAGGAGGAAAACGCCTAAAAGTTAATCTTGGGAGGAGAATCAAGAAATGTCCAACTTACCAATAGTTCATTCATATCGCTAGATGCTTTAAGCTTTGCTCTTTCTTCCAAAGAACGACCAAGGAGCACAAAGCCAAGCAGCATGACCTGCATACTAAATGACAAGAGCTATCAATCAGAAATTCACCATTGAAATTGTATTTTGCATGCAGTGGAAGTAAAAATAAAAGGCTTTCATCCCCTTGTGCTAGAGAAACTCACCGGTTCCTCAAAGAAGGAAGCATCCCACTCCAGTTCTGGATTAACTAGTGAGACCTGGAAAATTCAGAATGCAGAAAACTGCAGGTTTTCAGAATAGGATACTCACCAGTCAAAAATAAATCACAGGATACGAAAACTCACCAAACTGATGGCAAATGCAGCCATAGATCCCAATCCAACTAACGAGTTCATATTAGGTGATCTTTTCCCAAAAGCCTTTATGCCATCAAACAGCAAATCTACAATATATATTTATCTCTTTCAGTCATTTTTGTTTCCGAACAGCCTCAAATATCACTATTATTCTTTGAAGTGTTAATGAAACCTCAAAGAATAGCAGGAACCATCACAGTCACTTAAGAAATGTGAAATTCATCGTTTCTCTCTTATGATAACGACTAATCAATCAAGGTAAACATTATCCTTTAGAAGAATTGGAACAACGCTCAGCTATGTAATCAGAGTAGAACACATCTAAGTCTGAAGAACAGCCTCAGAACGACTACTTCGTCATCTCTCTCTTATAATACTAATTACTAAACTTATTGTGAATTAGCTGGTAAGCATTATAGATTAGGAACAAAATATTAAACGAAAGCAAACCTCTTCCTGGTCCCAACAAAGCTCCAACTGCCAAACCACCTTTCACGTAAGAGTTGTGTAGCAAATCCCAAATCCCTCCTAGTAAACAGAAGGTGCAAGAGAAAGTCATAAACTACATTTTTATCCAACAAATGACATCTAACAGCACAAATTTTTGCCTTATAATCAATTCTAAGGAAAGAATATGTGAAAAATGTACCATGAGCAATGTGAATTCCCAAGGAATGGAGAATATGCGAAGTGTGAGACCCGCAACACAGAGCCACCAATGTCCACGCAAACGCCACACGGTTCCTGCTCTTAACAAGCAAGTCCTCTTTCTTACTAACCATCTCCTTCCACTTCTTCACATTCTCCGCCACTCCCATCCCCGAGACTCTCCTCTTAGCCTCAAAACCACTCTCTGTCAATCTCTTAGCTAAACTCTCCGCCGCATCCGCCGTCACCTCAACCTCTGGTTTAAGCTTCACAGCCGCGGTTTCAGTCAACATGTTAACCACAGCAGATGCGACTCGGTCATCAGACATCAGAACCGATTTAACTCGGGCGACGCAGCCACCACACATCATCCCACTCACTTCGAGGAGAATAGGCGTGTCGCTCGTAACAGATTTTGCAGATTCGATTGAAGATTCCGTAGATTCAAACGATTGAGTACTTATCTCGACCGAGTTTGATACCAATAAACCAGGTGTTGAACAGTGCCGCCGGATACGAGAACGGCGCTGTCTTGGAAAGCATCGGTTCACGAATTTGACGTCGAGGAACTTACTTGGACGAATATGAAGACTCGACGGCGGAGGAAGAGGACATCGGAGAAGATTGGTCGCCATTTTCTCCGGCGAGACAACTACGATAGCCACGATTGATCTAGTGGACGTATGGTTCGTTTAAAAAAGAGTATCGCTAAAGATTGACACGTCGGATTTGGAATATATCCAAACCACAAGTGATTAGCCAATTTTTGTGGAATTTTAAAAAGCCAGGCTGTCACCAGAAAAATCAGAGAGAGGGACAAAACGCATCGTTTTACTAGGTAAGACCTTCTGATTTAACTAGAGGATTATAGCCTCCGGGACACAGCGATGCCACGTGTCATCTTCCTGAAATATTGCTTTTTTGAGGTACTTTATCTTCTCAAGCTTCTTCTTGTACGAAACTTCACATCTCAAAGCTTTGCTACAATGGAGGTTAGTGCGAATGAACCAGCTACGAAAAGCTTGAAACCCTTTACTTCAGGACCGATACCGAACTTTTTCGTATCGCTCTCTTCGGCATTTACGCAAACACCTCTTGTGCGTTCGAACAAACCCAATTTGCTACTTCTACCACCAGTTGCGGACTCCGTCAAATTGATTCAAGACTTTCATCGGTCTCTGGTCTCTGCTACTGAGAAATTCTCAGGGTTCTTTCATTCGCTCGCCTCTAAAAACCCTCTCTTTCAGGAAGCGGTTCGCTTGTCTTCCGAATTTCGCGTTCTGTGCGACGAGGTAACTTCTTGCTTCTTCGATGAACCTATTGAACATTTGCTTGAGCTCTCATTGGTACTGTAATGGGTAAATTTTTCTAATTTCTGTTCCTAAAAAAGGGTCATTTTTGAACCGCTAGTAACTCAGATCATATGCCAAGACTATGGGATTGTTGTATAGACCACTTAGCACTTGTTGGATAACCTTTTCACATTGTTAGCCCTGAGTAATATATGTCCTCAATTTGGGATCTTTTTTGGTTCTTTTCTTGTAACATTAAAGATCAAACTTGGCTTCAGGATAAGTCAGGTTATGCTTTTGTGTGCCTTTGCTTCTAGTTTTGGGTTGTTAAAGATGAAGAGCCTTTTGTTGCATTTCAGATTCGTTTGAGAAACACTACAAGGGTAAGGTTTGCCATGTCTAATCACGGATTTGCCGCGGTTCTGCCTGGAGATTCAGTTGCAGGATTGGTGGTTGCTAATGGGTTGATAAATTTCCTCAACATATATAACACCATCCTTGTTGTCCGTCTAGTACTCACCTGGTTCCCGAGTGCTCCTCCTGCCATTGTTAACCCCCTCAGGTAATAAGTTGCCTTAAAATGCCACTATGATTTTGAATCGTGTCCGGATTTTAAAGTTTTGATCGATCCATGGGAACAAAATCTTGATCATATGATTCATATTCGCCATTGTTGAAGGTAGTCTTTTTGCTTGAATTAGAGGAAGTTTATTTTGGATAAACTCTGTCTACTAGATTCTAAATGGTTTAAGGATTGGTTAAACCCTGATTGATCTGCCCAAGAGCCCTAGTTGATTGCTAATTATGTGTATTTGTGTTACTATTGTTTCAGCACTTTATGTGATCCATACTTGAACATATTCCGGGGATTCATACCGCCTCTTGGAGGATTAGATTTGTCTCCTATTTTGGCGTTCCTTGTTCTCAACGCCTTCACCAGCTCGGCTATGGCACTCCCTTGCGAGCTCCCGCCAGCTGAAGGAGCGGTTTCTCTATCTTCTAGTGAGACAAAGTGGATGAGAAGGAGAAGGTTGAGCAGCCACAAGGACCACAGACCGAGCTCAGCTTCTATGAACTGAACCTGCTAAAAACTCCCCTCTTTTCTGCGCTTCAAATGTAAAATCTACCTTTCTAGTAATTCTGCATCTTTGGATTTCTGAGTTTTTGTATAAATTTTCTCTAGAAAATGAATAAAAGAGTTGTGTTCCTCCTGATAAACAGAAATATTGTAAAATTTTGCAAAAATATGAGCTTTTTTACTTCATATGTGGCGTCAAAACAACTTTCACTCAGATTCTAATCAGAGGCTTTGCATATCAAGACGAAAACAAGAAGGATGAGGATGACAAGCAATCCACCAAACGAACCACATAGCCTGTGAATCCAGTAAGGATCAAACCTGGTCAAGCTAGGGTCACAATACAGGGACAAGGCAATGGCCAAAATCAACAAGAGGAGAAGCAGAGAGAGGGAAAACATAAAGCCGAAGAGTTCTTCTTCCTCTTCTAGATCTTCCTCTGATAATCTGTCGATGTAGAGAGGTGAGAGCACGGCCAGTACTGACAAGCTTATGGCCAAAAGTTTCCAGGACGTAGTAAACCTCCCCATCATCGGCCTGGATGATCCCGCTTCCATCGGAATAAATGTCAGTACAAAATTAAAAACCAACTAGTAACTTCCTTCACAATCCTTGCTTGGTGTTCATCTGGTTAAAAAGAAAAGATCTGAACGAATATGGTTTGTTTCTTGGTAAGCCTCTGAACATAATTTGCAGGGTACTTTCGAGAAGCGGCTTAGATGGTAAGGTTAACTGTTTACACACAAAGAGAAGAGAGAAAGAAGATTCTTTGTTTCTGGTGAACAGTAGTGTCCACACACAGCTAAAATATTCCATGGGATCATATGCTTAATACTTTTCTTTTCTTTTTCTTTTAGTTCAATCTTTTTACAAAAAGCTGATTCTAAAAGACATTGTTCATATATCACTATCTTTTTTTTAGTATAAACCTGTACAACAGAGATAATTTGGTCTAACAATGAAGATGGTTCATCATCAATTCAGAGCTATATACAACGCCAGTTAGTTGTGCACTCATCAGAAGAACTTGGCACCTACACTTGGGTAAAAGTTATCAAGGTGAGCATAGAGTGAAGTCATTTTCAATCCGGTGATATGAACGTGTGATCTTGAAAGTTCTTCAAGAAATGTATCATCCACCTACAATGATAATACCGCCATTTAAGTACTTGACACAGATCACCCCAAGGTTGAATTCACCATAAACAAAAAAAAGCACAAGTATAAGCTTAATCTACTATATCATACCTGTGTCCATCCAAATAGCTTGAGTGATCTAAGTGACGAGCAGCAACTCAAAATCCGTCTTAGGTCCTCCTGGGTGAGTCTTCGACACCACGAGAGGTCCAAAAATTGTAACCTCTTGCAAACTTCAGCAAGCGAAAAGGCAGTATGTGGACCGACCTGTTCAAACGAAACTCCTTTAAACACTTGGGGAAAAAACCATCTTAAAAATGAATGAGACTCTAGGTACTAAAAACACTCACATGTCGGACTTTGTTTAGGCAAAGTTCGTTAAGAGAACCTCCCGAGACTTCAAGAAACGCGGCAATACCTTCGTCACTGTCAAAGGAAGCCCATAGATTTGATATTCAGAACACTCTACGAATGTTATGTAAAAAAAGATCAAAATTATGAGACTTATACGAACCTAAATCTGTTACTTGTAAGTTTGAGTGATCTCAAATATTTGCAACCCTCTGCAATAAACTCTAATGCCTTATCAGTCAATTTATCCAAGTCTGTGATGTCAAGAGCCTCTAGCTTCTTGCAATACCTCCCAATATGCCAAATGCAATCATCAGTAACCTCACTAGTTACCACAGAGAAGCAAAAAAAAAAACATAAGTTCTCAGCATAAAACTTGGTAATGAATTTGGTCTTTCAATGCCTCAAAAGAGTAACTTACTTGCAATTAGCGAGAGATAGATCAGTGAGATTCGAGCTACGGAACAAAAAGAACGTTCTGAAAACACCATCATTAACACTATCGAGTCCCGCAACCGAAAGATAGTTCAATTTCTCGAACTTATATAGGCTGCTACTAAAGCCTTTATACCATTTAATCCCTTGGCATCCACCAATGCTAAGTCCTCTAAGACTTGAACCAAACTTATCAGCAAGAATCTTCAAAGCGCGGTAAGTGAGAAGAGAGCATTCAGTGAGGTTAATAAACTGAAGCAGAGGAGATGAATTCGATATCAACAACAATGCATTGTCTGTTAAACAGAATGCTCCTTGAAGAGATAGCGTAGTTAATGACGGGAATCCGTTAGGCGCGCGTTTAAAGAACTCGTTTATCGTATAATCCGTCATCGCTCGTCCGCAAAGATCAAGAATCAACACCTGCAAATAGATTGAAACTTTCACTAAAAAGATTGCTACTAATGAGATTTTATAACAAATTTACCTTCAAGCTAACTCTATCACAGTCACAGAAGATCTTTAACAAGTCATCTTCCTTTAATTCGACGCAGTTCTTCGCGCAAATCTCACTTGGAGAATCCTCAATCAAAAGCTCCATAAGACGTGTATCGACTTTGCCAAAACCACTAACAAGATAGGAGAGTTTCTTCCTCAAATGATCAGGAACAAGTTTCAATGACTTGATTGCTACAATATTCTGAGCAAGAACTCTCGCACTAAGCTCCACAAGCGTAGGAGCTTTCCTTAGTACCGTCATCGGATCTATCATCATATCACTTGTTGTAGAGAGATCTTCTCTTCTCTTCTTGATCGATTCTTTAGCTCTCTGAAACTCACTTTTTTCTTCATCTCTTATTACAACTTCTTCTTCCTCTGTTTTATCAACAATCTTGAGATTTTGTTCAGAATGCAATTGAAGAGCGAAATTTCTCGCAACGTTATAATTTCTCGAAACTTCATAATGACGTCTTCTTTGTCTTGCAGCTTGTTCTTCAGCCCACTGTCTCTGCCAATTTGCTAAATAAGCTTCATAATCATCTGAATCGGTGCTTTTTCTTTCCTCCATCTCCACGTCGTGATTTTGAAACCCTAATGATAAATCACGATTATCAACCTCGTTCGCTACCATGAAAAGTGCTTCGATAGCTTCTTCATCGGATATGATCCGACGATTTCCTCGAGAATCATTGGGAATATCGGAAGAATTATTCATCGTGTGGTTTCAGCCAGAGAGGGTTTTGTTGGTGAAGAAAAAAATTGGGCTAAAATCAGAAAAAGGAAAAATCGAGAGATGTATTTATACTTTTTCGTGACGGGAGAAGTAATTTTTTCAGTGAAGCCCACACGGAATTGATCTTACGAGTCAACTCCTTTTATTATTGGCTCCTTTTTCTATAAGGAAAAGAAAAGATATTTATTATTGGTAGGGAAAAAAAAGTATTTGCACTTATTTTAAATTTTAATGATAAAATAGCTTGTAGTACGTATTTAAGATAATATTAATAGAGCAAGCAAATTTTATTTTTTCCTGAATATGAATGGTTTTATTTTTTATTTAGAAACGAGTAGTGTCGAATTTACAATTAACAATTATAAAGTGAATGATTTTATTTATTCTCTATTATATAGGTATTTAATTTTTTTCCCAAAAAAAGAAAATAAAAAAGAATTTTTAATTTATTACATAAAAACTAGAATTTCGTAATTCGGATTTTTCTTTGGTCGTGTTGTTACTAGAGATATTTAATCTAGTTGATATTCAACTACCTGCAACATAATACGATTATGACGAACAGCTCCCACGAACAACGATTCCACGCCACAATTCACCCCATTGTTGGATCTTCAACGGACGGTTCCATAAATACGAGATCTTTGTGATGGACATGCTCTCCCCACAACACTCGAAACTACTACGAACGATTTTGTATACGGTACTTTAGACTTTCGATAAGCTTTGCACCATTAACCAGTACATAACCGGCTTTGGGCCAGCTGGTAAATCTCTTGCTTTAGGCGCCAAAACATATATATATTTAGAGGACATCAAGTTTCTAAAATAAGTGGTAGTGCAATTGACATCAAATTAGAGCTCATACCAAACCAATTTGTAACGAATTTGAAGTTTGATTTTCTGTTTGATAAAATATGAACAGTGTAAGCCAAGGCCATCTCCAACTAATATGGGCTCATTTAGGATTGCAGGCCCATTTTTGATAATAGTCTATTCCAATTGCTTCTAGAGCCCATGGGTTCATGTTTCAAGCAAACGTACTACTAATGCTACTCATTTCCAAATCTTTTTTTGTTTGTTTGTTAATGTATTCAGATCAACTGTTTTATTTTTTGAAATAAAATGTTTGTGTTTGATAGAAAAGTTTGAGATTTTAAGAAAAATTCTATTATATAGATATTTTTATATTTATAATATCAATCTACAATTATATATATTGAGGACTTGCGAGAGATATCTATATATATATATTTACTACAAATTATGGTCAGCAAGTCACATGGAACTTTTCCTCACCAGTAGATTTCATTCACCTTAATAAAAACAAAAATGAAGATTGCGTTGTAGATTGATACTATAATTATTAATATTTTCTTGTCCCTGATATCAACTTGTTTATAGTGTGGTATCAAGCTACCTATTTTTTTTCGTTCACTTTGGTCTCTTTATAGTTTTGGTCATTTGTCTTTGTTAGCAAAGTCAAAGATTGATATCCACATCGCACATACAGCAAAACCTCTATAACTTAGTAATATCCCGACTCTAATATTTTATTAATTAAATTTAGAACCAAAATAAATTATTAATCTATCAAATAAGGTTCTTACTGTATATACAATTGGGTCTTTTTCAGTTTCTTATTTTTTCTCCTAAAAAGGACTGAATTAGGAGAGTAGGGACCAAGTCATATATAGGAATAGGACTTTGGATGTTTGTTAAATCCAAAATCCACAATTGTGCAAGTAGATGGCACTCCCAATCTGGATTGTTTTGAGAAATATAAGTTTTCATGTAAAATCATCATGATTCGTTTATTTTTTTTCGCATATATAAACATCACATTGTAATAAATATCCGCAGCTCTATATTTTTTTATACTACTAATTAATATTTTTTTACTTAAAAAATTATAACGGCATATATAATCATATTAATTTTTTATTTTTTTTGATAAAGATATAATCATATTAG